GAACTCAGATACAGCTTAGAGGACAATCATGCTTTGGGAAGATTACCAGACACTACGGTCAACTGTGGCAATAATTCCAGGTACCAATCCAGAGGTATTGCTTCTCTGGAATCCTACTGATCAAACTGACATAACCTGTTCACCCAAAGCACAATCTCATTAAAATCAGATCTTAGTTCTCGCTATTGCTGAACACAGATCTGAGGACATCCCATTAGGGGTCACGTCAGAACGACCTTTCATCCGACCAATCAGAGCGTCTCTGACCAGATCATGAAAGTGACAGACGGAATGTGTTTTCTAATCATGCAACCTCGGAAAATTTAACAGGGGGTATTCCGAACGACAGTTACGGGTTTTATAATTTATATCCATACAATCTAGGAAATCTATAAGCTATTCCTGAATGTTCTTTTTATCAGTTTTATTTTTGAGAATAGGTCAAAATATGTTTTGAAGCGTAGTCGCCAATTTGAAACTTGTGCCGTAAAGCTCGAAAAAGCTGCCTTCTGATCGGCTAATATCGATTTCTTGTTAGTCATTTCATTGGTCGGTTGAAGTTCGCGAAAGGTCGTTCTGACGTGACCCGAAATGGCATGTCCTCAGATCTTTGTTTAACGGTAGCGAAAACTATGATCTGATTTTAATGAGATTGCCCAAAGCATCATGTCGTAGCAGTATGACACACTGATCCTAGGAGTCGGACATGTCTGATAGATACTCAGGCTTGGAAAGATATTACAAAACAAATCATCCATGCTTATAAATTGCCTATGGTAATAAGCAATGTGGATGAACTGGCCAACTGGATTGCCTAAGCAACTTCCAGTCTTGTTGAACAATCAAAACATCTGTACAGTGACCCAGGGCACCTGCTAAATAACAATGATGATAATAATGAGTATATTTGAAATGTGATAGATTCCACGAACCTGTATGCTCAAAGTGCTACACCATTATTACCCGAGTCAATGGATCAGTGTGTTCTGGAAAGTCACTCTCAACTCCCTGGGGAACATACAACCCAAGCTGCCTATGAGGAGCTAGAGGGCAACAGCCAGATTACTGTCTCATCCTACTGGTTACCTTTGTAATCAGTTTCCAAAAGTGTTCTTCAATAAAAACTCATTTTGTACATTTTAGAACAGCACTAAATGGGGGTAAGGGTAACATGAACAAAAATGTATATTATGAATTTTTCTAAGAGGATTTGACTATTTCAACATGAGCAAATCTTTGGCCCAGGCTAATTTTCCAAAACTTTAACTGTGACATTTATAGTGGGTCAATTGGGGCTGTTTGTCCTCCTGTATTTATCTTACAGAGTAACGTACAGTTTTCTAGGCATATGTTGTACAATGCTTGTGAGGTGTGACTGTTATATTGCAAGAGGCATTCTTATCATGTATGGATGCAGGTTCTTGTATTTGATAACAGATATAGGATGAATATCACAGCATGCATAACCCTGGTAAAGAATCTCATATAACATGCATCACCTTCGTAGTTCAAGCAAAAGGAATGTTGAGCAAAGTAAACGAATTGCACACATAAGCACTCTATATTAGGTCATTGATAGAATTCATCAGTGTAGCAGTACTCACAAATCACAACACAACTATAAGCTGTCATGAAGTAGGTCAGAGAAAAACATTTGGAAAATTTAGATACTTTTTCAGATTTGAGTTTTCACATCATGACAAGAAGGTAGGTTCTGTGCATCCTCGACTATGCAGGGCATAATATCTCCATTCCATTAAGATAAGTACCCTGGGCACATTCGCTACCATAGCTTCATTTGGAGCCAGAACTTGCACCTAAGATTGCGAGAAATCGTGTGCTAAGTTTGCAATAAGGGAGAAAAGAAAACTTTTTTTTCAGATTTGTTTGTTGTTTAACAGCGTACTCAGCAATAATCCAGCTATATGATGGTGGTATGTAGTTAATCAACATTCAAGTGACAGACATCATGAACATTGATCTACACAATTGTGATACAATGACATGCATCAACCAAGCCAGCAAGCTTGACCACATGATCCCGTTAGTCGCCTCTTCCGACAAGCACAGTGACCTTTTGCGGCAAGCATGGGTTGCTGAACACCTATTCTAACCCGGGTATTTATCATAACATAATGAAGATATATAACACCTGCATAATGGAGGATGCAATAGCTATGAATTCAGTCAAGGCTGTGGTTTTCGATATTTGATCATTCTGCTCAAACAGACTAGCATTGTCATGGATGGACCAAAGCACACAGCTTGATATTTGATGGTATGGAGTTTGCGAATGAAATCACAAGCTACCAGCTTGATGGCAAAGCATCTTCTACATGTAATGAGGCCTGAAGTTTCAGTTCTCAAATGTACAAAATCATCAAAATTTAACCAAATTTAGAGATGAAGATTAGTTTACAGGCCTACAGATTAACTGCAAAAATACAAGTATCAAATACAATAGTCAAACTAGGTTTGTTAGAGATGCAGACACAGAAAGTGAGTGAGTGAGTGAGGTTTTAAGCTGCTGTTAGCAATATTCCAGCAATATCACAGAGGGGCACACCAGAAAATGGGCTTCACACTTTGCACACACACTTTGCATGACGTACACAGACACAGTTGTTTTTAATACATTGTATGTCCATACTACAAACTGAAAACTACACTAGCACTGATGTTCATTTCAACAGGCCTCTCACTGATTTATCTCAAAACCAAAACCTACATCAGCAGTTTTTTCAATCCAACAGGATTCTGATTTAGACCAAGTGTCCATGGTGCCGACGTACAAACCAACCTTAAGACTACGACTGTTGTAAGTCAGTGTTAAGGTATAGACAGATGATCTTTGCACTAATATCTCTTTGTGCAACCCATGTCATATACAGGTATATGTAGGTCAAAAGGTGATGCACATGAACGCACATGCAACAGATGTATTGCAAGCGCAGATAGATTTTTGGGAATAGATGGTGTGCATTCCAAATCCACAAAGATATTTGCATTTACCATGTCACACATAAAGCTTCCAGGGAAATATTGATCATGTTAGGATGCTTCAAAACGGGGTGTGATCACCCCTGCCCCCACCCCTGTACCTTGGTATGTATTACTTCAATAAGTTATCCAGCTTCTGATAATCACTCACAACACTGACGTGTCTAATCTAAACTGGTTTATATCCTAACTTTCACATGTGGTCAACGATGCTTGGGCAAAAGATCGTGGTTGTGAGTGAGTGAGTGAGTATGGTTTTACTCCGCTTTTAGCAATATTCAAGCAATATTCCGGCGGGGGACACCAGAAATGGCCTTCACACATTGTACCCATGTCGGGAATCGAATCCGGGTCTTCAGCGTGACGAGCGAACGCTTAAACCACTAGGCTACCCGACTGCCCCTCGTAGTTGTGAAGAAAGGGCATGGCGGACAGAAGGGACACATGAATGTCAACAACAGGTGCACGCCTTGGCCAGACTTTCTCAAACTTGTCCGCCGACTCCAAAAACGTTGTATTCAACCAACAATAAACAAATATTAAATGTTAAAACTGATTAACTGTTGCTGTTAAATACTATAATTAGGCCAGACAAACAAAATATATTTTAAATTGGATACAATTTTTTTCGACATAGTGACCTGAATTGTTGGTCCTAAAATAGGTAAAACAAAAAGAAATATAACCTGGCCTTAAGAATATGATAAATAGGACTACAACCATGTTCAAAGCCAGGTTACACTAGTGCTATCAGACTATGATTAAGTCTATGTTCTAGTGTTCACAGCAAGAGCGGACAGGTTTATTTGTACAACATCAAAGCTGGCAACAGCTTTCAACAAGCATAGGAGTGACTAGAAGCAATATCAGCGACAAATCATGAATAGACCTGATCGTACAAATCCTCCTGGACAAGGAGCAACAGTTTCACCATCAGTCAGTCTCCTCATTACCTCACTGGTGGGCATTATCACTGTCTGTTTGAATTTCACGCTAACACTTTGAAAGTTAACCAGGTTTTCATTACTAATTTGCTTTACTAACCACCGACCAATATTTCACAAATGTGGAATACAAAATAATAATTTGGATATACCGGGTAATCTTCTTTCTAAAGAAATGTTTTGTCACTCAAATGACAAAAGATATCCCTCTAAATCACCAGTTACAGTTTGACAAACAAACTCTGTATACCAAGTACCGTATTCGACGTAATAAGCGCCCAGGGCGCTCTCAAAATTAGAAATAGGGAGCTCTTATTAGGATATTATTTAGAGTTGAAAGATCGTAAATTTCGTGGTTTATGCTGACAGCCTGAAATGTTATATACGACAGATATATTTTTCCAGGATTTAATTGCCCATAATTAAGGGTGCATATGACATACGAGTGCGTATTATACACAAGTAAATAAGTCTTGTGTACATTAATCAATTGGAAGGGATGCTAACTGAGATTGTTCACTAGCCAATATATTAGCAAATATCGCCGTGGGCGCTTATTACGTCGAATACGGTATACCTAATAAAATCGAGGCCTGCGATGTCCATTATTATAACATTCTCCAATGTTGTTAATTGGAACTGTGTTGTGATATATGTCCCCTGAGAACCAAGGACAGAAGTACAAAACATCTAAAAACATCAGATAACAAACTATTATAGTGAAGTTATTTCAAACTTCAACAACAATACATCAGGTTGCCTTAAAGAAACTAAAACGTTTAGTGACGACCATCTGATAAGTTCACAGAGTGACTCATTTAGTGAGCCGTAACCTGTGTGGAGTGATGCTCGCATTATTGACCATGAGGTGTGTTGTGTTTCAATGTCATTAAAATCAGATCTTGTACTCTGATACGATGCCTCTCTGTGTCATGATCTGAAAAACACGCCACAGGAACCAGGTCAACTCTGTACAAACTTTGACCAGCAATTCTAAATGAAAGAATGGGCAGGTTCTTGAGCCAATGGGATGTCAGCATTCTAAAATTATTCATCTTCATTTCTTTAACATCTTAATTCATAAAAACACCACACAGGACATGAATATCCCCTTGATAGTACATCCTTTCTCGATGTAGATAACATAGTAACAATATGTCACCACATAACAGCACAGCCTTTATCATTTTCCATCCATTCATTTTGAAGATACAGAGATTAGATATATGCCACTCTGAATGCTTCTGTCACTCGAACTAATAATTTAGAAGCCTCAACGCTGATTGGTGTAGAACCTTCCCTGAGCATGACTTCCGGTAGAGATTGAGAGGGCATGGTTTCACGGTGCTTTTAGCATAATTCCAGCAATATCACGGCGGGTCACACCAGAAATGAGTTTCAAACATTATACCCATGTGGGGAATCGAACCCGAGAAATCGGCGTAACGAGCGAACGCTTTGACCAATAGGCTACCCCACCACCCCTCCTGTGGAGGGACTGTCTTCAAGTCAGAAGGCTGCCATCAGAGTTATAGATCTGATTTTGATGAGATTGGGAGATGTTAGTGCCTTGCTTTGTGCATTCAGTTTCAGTTTCATGTTGTTTAACGCCGCACCCAGCAATATTCCAGCCATGTGACAGTGTTTTTTGTGGATTCAAGCTGATGTCATGTCTCAATGGGATGAAGTTAAACAGTACCCTGTGTATGGCTCTTTCATCTTACATTATCTGTGGACATCATAGGGAGGCACTTATGTGTAACAATAATAAAAACAATAATAATAACAGTAAGAAAATAACACAGGGGGAATATTGCTCGATACAATCAGATACGTATAAATACAACATTCTCCGAAATGAAAACAAGTTTTTTCTTCTGCTCAATGTACAATGTAGTGGCTCCAAGAAAAAAGACAGCCTAAAGGCACTAATCCTTTGGGATGTTCATAACAAGTGAAAAGTGTCTAAAAATGCAATACAGTTAAGTCTCATAAAAATTTCAAAATATTTCCAACATTTCCAAAATAATTGTTTTTTTTACCACAATATACAACAAGGTAAAGGTCCAAAGCATTCATCGTGATTAACATTCCACAACATAATCAAATATCAGACGCTGACAAACTGGACGTAACACATAGTGATTAAGTGATATCCAAAATCTCTCAAGAAGTGACATAAATACTAATTAAATCTCTCACAAAACTACGAGATTTGTGAATATCAAAATTATTCCAAAAAAAAGCTGACAATATTTCCCTGATTTCTTAGCTGATATTTATAAGATTTATATCGTACAGCATGGATATGTTGTCATGGAATTAGTATCAGGGATGGGTAAGTTTGACATTAACTCTTGTCAGTTGTCTGTTTCGCACATTGTTACTCAAGCACCCAGACAACAGACATCAATCTATATCAGAACATCACTTGACTTGAATATGACCACCTGTGCAATTACATCATTCTGCTTCGAACGACAACCTTTTGGAACAAATATCAACATTTTCTCCATGGCATTTTGTTGAAGACCAACTGTGTGATCATGATTTGTCTGTTATGTGTAAAGATACAGAACGGGAGGACCACTGCATCAGCTGTCAGTGGATCTAAACAAGGAATACACACTGAAGTACCCTGAGCAAGTTGACAGTGGGGCCTGTCCTTCATGGAAGATGCAGCAGATGTGGGTCCATCAACATATTTACACAGAAAGACCGGGGGTTCTACATATACTGAATACATATAAAAACAATTAAAGATTAAGCTGACTACATTTCTACCTGGCATGTAGCACATGTTGACTATGGCACATACATGGACCATGGTGCTGGCCATCAACTGGATGTCATCTGTACACAACTGGATACAATATGGAAGACGAGTCACACACCCTGCACTGCTGCTGTGAGTTTTAGAAAACAGTCCACTACTGCCTGAGTGACACAAGGGGAATGACAGTTATGTAAAAGACAATGAATGGATTCCTGGACTCGGATCTTTCTTATTGCATAGCATACCGGTACTCACACATTTTCTGTTCATAGGAAATGGATATAATAAAACCTTACACATCTCATTGGAACTAGTATCTCATGAACACCTTACTTGTCGCTTACAAAGGACGCTGATATATCATAAACACCTTACTTTCTGCTTACAAAGGACACTGATATATCATGAGCACCTGACATATCTCTTTGCAAGATACCTGATATCTCAAAATCATCTTACTTATCCCTTTGCAAGGGAACTGATATCTCTTGAGAGCTTTACATATCTTTCCAAAGGAACTGATATCTCACGAGCACCATACATATGTCTATAAATAGGAACTGATATCCCACGAGCCCCATACATATCGCTTTAAAAGGGAACTAATATCTAAATATTACTTTGCAAAATATATCAAGGCAGAACTCCAGCATGACATAGAACCAATAACTATTGTTTTTAAAGCTACCTATTTCAGTTAAAACATTACCTTATATCAGAATACAGTTTCTGCTGCCCCAAATCAGTGACAAACAGGTGCAGAGATACGAGGATATGCTAGATGCTTGTATCAGATATGTCAAGATGACAAGCTGGATATGTTACATATCCAGGACTCACACAATAGAATAATGCTGTCAGGAGTCCCACTACTGAAGCTGGTTTATCATATACATGCATAATCATGATAATAAACTCGTGGTCAAGTCGTCACTGATGCGAACAACTTTTCACAAAATCAGCCAAGCAATTTGCATCAATAGAGCCTGATCATTTGTTCTTAGAATATTCAGAAATTTGCTGATTTGTGAACATTGTCATCGTGACGCCTGATGGCCCAAAGCAATTATATAACTGTTGTTAAAGTAGTGTAAATCGTGGAGTCGTTTAGACCAGCCTGCTAGATGACCTGGCACAGGAGAAGACAAGGTTACAGGCTGACCTGCATCTTCATCATCTCTTCACATGAATGGTCCTTACCCCACAGTAGCAGCAACCGGGGAAGTGAGGTGGGCTGGATATCACAGAGGACAACCGAGGAGGAGAATCACATGGAGTGCGACGTCAGTGACGACCACAATCTCAACATCACTGACTCAGAAAAGGAGTCTGAGGATCACAAGGGAAACAGTGATGACCATGACACAGACTGAAGATCTATGGATGGACCAGGGAGGAACTACAGATGGCCGTGATGGTCTCAATGTAAAAGTGTTGAAGGATCATAACTCCAGTAATGTTAAGCAACAGATGTTATGGCCACCCTGTCAACGTTACCGTTCACTGTAGAAGCGTTGGAGGTTAATGAATTAAATAAGTTAGTGATGGCAGCAACTACTTCTGTGCCAACATCATGGTAGGCTGCGAAAGAGTATTAAATCATGAGTTTGTGAGCGACGGCAGTGACTGCCTCCGCGCCAACATCACGGCAGGCTGCAGGTACTGCTGGAGGAATGTTATGCTGAGAGGCTGCTTCGTCACCATATCCTCAAACGGCATCTTCTCTGATGTTGGTTTAGGTGCTCCGCAATCAATCTGGAAAGGAAACATGGGATGCTCAGTTGTTATAATTAGATATGTTATAGTGAGGATATGTTATAATGAGGATATGTTATAATGAGGATATGTTACATACTGAATTATCAGTTGCCTTACATTATATTTTGCCTTTGCCAGAAACAAATTCAAGTAGCAGTGTACAAATAGACAGATCATGGTGTCAAGTTTTAACATTATGCTAAACAAAAAGTCACAGCAGAGAGCAGGACAAGTTGCTATAAATCATGACACAAATAATTATTTGACTTCCATCCCCAACCACCTCACTACCAAACACTCTGCTTATTATCATTTAATTGTTAGAGGTGAGGTGAAATGGGGTTTATCGTCTCTTACAAAATGTGTGTGTGTATGTGTGGCTGCCTGTACTAGACTGGACTGATGCCGATTTAAAGTGCTAGCTCAATGAAATACAATGCCGCAGTTTAACATGAATACCCTACTCAGACACGGTATACTGACTCCGAGCTGACCAGTCCTTGTTTTAACCCCTTAATGCCTTAACGTCTTTTGGTATGACGCGGCCGGGGATCAAACCCCGGACCTACATGTTTTGTTACATAGGTAATGAAATACACCATAAACATAGTCCCACAAAATATTCATGCTTTATGTGAATCACATCAGTCAACAGTTAATTCCCAGATATTCTTGGAACAGTTTATGAACACAAATAAAACATACAAAAATAGAATGCTTCCCATCTCATATTTTTTCTCAAAAACTTCTTCTGAGTATTCAGCGTTAGAAACTGGCACTAGTCCTGTAACTTCTTTGATAGGCATTCAGAAGTTGGAATACTAATTAAGGATAAGAATTTATGGATGAACAACATTTCGGTGTAGGTTCTTGCCTGATACCGGTAAATTCTTATCCTTACTTACTTGTCCTATAGTCCGTGCCAAACTGCCCAATAATTAAGGTATATAAGGACTAGTAGAAATTTGGCATTTTTAGGGGTTTTGCTATATGTTATCATTGTAAGGGCTAGTGAATTAAAAATGTTAGTTTCTACCCCTGGTATTATGTAATTTTGTTGAATGGGACAGTTAACAACTTTAACTCTCTTTCAGAATTGCTGTGCCTTCGGTGACATGACCACCCTGGACATGTAGGAACAATGTAGCCTGACCTGCATCAAGTAGGTGACCATGGAGTGGATCTTCTTGTCCTTCTGGACTGGCTCGATGATCCACCCACTGGGCAGGAGCTGAAACACATGCCAGTCAGTAGTCAGCACATACACCGAGTTACGAGGCCGTGTAGCTCACTGCATTGTTTCTAGAATATTTGAAACATTAGCAATAGGTGAGGCGAGGTGAAATGGGGTTTATGTGTGTGTAATGACAACTTTATAGTGCTAGCCCACTGAGATAAAATATACCATGCTGCAGTTTAACATGAATACCCCACTCATACACAGTATACTGACTCCAAGCCAACCAGTCCTTGTTTAGCCCCTTTAGACAGGGTAACAAGAAGTATCATCTTTTAACGTCTTTTGGTAAGATGTAGTAGGGTATCGAGCCACTGACCTTCTGCTCTCTGGGCAGACACTCCATCAACTAGACCATGAGGGCAGTAGCATTAGCAACGAAAGTCAATAGCATGAAAACAAGTCTAAACATGGATCCGGACCCTTGTATTGTTCAGGAAGTGTTCCACAAAGTGCACTGATGTAAAAAATGCTGGCATATCCAAATGAGTGAGCGAGTGAGTTGGGTTTAACGCCGCTTTCAACAGTATTCCAGTTATATCACGGCGTGTCAGCTTAATGTGGGAGGAAAGCCCGAAATGATGCAGGTCTCAGACATTTACCACTTCGGTGAAACCCACGAGCATGGGTATGGTGCTGACAAACCTAGAAACATAATCGGGGCAAACCGGGATTCGAACCCACAATCATATGGCTTCCGTCATAGAATATGCTTTACAGTCAACATCCAATTTAATCAATTTGTAAAATGACTGAAAATTTCATTCATATTGTGGCATGTCAGCTTGATGGGGAAGGAAAGACTTTGATGTTTTCCACTTTGGTGAAATCCACAAGCACACTTACGGCACTGACAAATCTACATATATATTCAGGGTGAATCAAACTCTCCTGTATAAGTTTCTGGCACACCCAAGGAACGCAACTGCACAGTTCCTTAGATGTTCTTCTCCCAATACTTACTGTAGCTCTAACGGTATCACCTCTTGGTGGAGTTGTCGCCCAGTCTACAGACTGATACACCAGAATGTGTTTTTCTCCTTCAATTCTCTCACTCTGGACAATACAGAAATCACAGCTCTCTTTCTTGAGAATCTGATGCACCTCGTGGTATAAATATACTGAAATAAAAATATGATGAAATAAAGAATACTGAAAACAGTACGTCCAGGGACGTCAGTATATTTTTTGACAAAATTACAAAATGGATATGTCAACATTTTTCATGATTATCAAGATTTTTTAAGAAAGTTTTATTAATGGTAAATTGTTAAATTTAATTATTATTTTCTTACTTAACATGTTGTACATCAACTATTATTGTATTCTAACAAACCATCTTACCTATTCTAAGATTTTCGGAAATAGTCTGCAAAATATCCACTTTCTGAAAAAAAAGAGACGTCACATGTGAAAGTATTGTATTGTTTAGAATATTTCCAACACACAAATGTACCAATGCTATAAAGCTGTCATATCCACATATGGCTTCTGTCATAGAAAACATTATAAAGGCTATGTCCAAATTCGGTCAATTTGTAAACTGACGTTAAATTTCAGTTGACTAGGCCTACTGACTGAATTCAGTTGTGTCCTGGGACCTGTTCCACAAAGTGACCGTAGCGCTATGGTGATCGTAACTCCCATGCTTCCACATAGACTTACGACAGTCGTAGCGCTGTGATCACTTTGTGTAACAGGACCCTGATCCTAATCAACGCCACCTAGTGAGCATGACAAATGATGTATAATGCGCACCCCCCTCTAGCGGGTTCAATATTTTGGAAAAAAAGAAATTTGAATATTATGCGCAGACATTTTTTACACCGTACCCTTTCAGCGAAGTCCGGCAAACGAACGGGTGCTGAGAAACTTCGTCAGTACTAACTAACTTTGCTTTACAATGGACAAGTATGTTTGTTTGCTGTATAATGCCACACTCAGACATATACAAATCGTGGTTTCGTGAGTCCATCTATCCCAAGCCAAAGGGACTCTCAGTAACAATTTCATGTGTCTGCTCCATGAACATGGGGCCCAGACTGGCGACATGTGGCACACTTCACTTGATTTCCACAAGTTTTACTGATATCATTGCACATGCTGAGAAGCCCCTAGCCTGTTACAGATGGGGATTTTAATGTTAGACTAAAGAAAATGAATCATTAACAACCAGAACTTGGAGAGTATTTCTTACCAGAATAGTGAGTGAGCAAATGCTTTAACCTCTAGGCTACCCGTCAGCCCCCTTACCAGAATAGAGGGTGGTGGGTTAGCCTAGTGGTTAAAGCATTCACTTGTTACGCCAAAGATTCGGGTTCTATTCCCGACATGGGTACAATGTGTGAAGCCCATTTCTGGTGTCGCCCACCGTGATGTTGCTGGAATATTGCTAAAAGCAGCATAAAACCATACTCACTCACTCACCAGAATAGAAATGTCAGTTATATTTGACAAGCAAATTTTGATAAATGAAATGATACAGCCGTACTTCTTTGTTTCCTCCAAGACTAACAATGTCAATTACTTGCTTCCATTTGCATGATTTGTACACATACAGGATCATCGATGCATACATTTGCATGATTTGTACACATGTAGGATCATCGATGCATACATTTGCATCTATTTAAACCAGTAAAAATAATAAGAAACACCTTCATTAAATTATACTATTAAACCATCCGAAAGATTTTTGCAGATATTCATACAAAATTTTAAATAGTTTGAATCCTTTCTTCTCTATTATCCCCCCAGAGTCGGAGCAACTGAGCTGTAGATTGTATTTGTTAGTTGTTGTACCTTCAATGATTCATCATATGTAAATCTTGTCCTGGGGTTCCTGAGGGCCTCCCACACAGTCTGGGGCGGGGCTTCGACCACACCCTTACCCAGGTAGCTGAAACATGGAGGCGAGGTGAGGTGAGGTGAGGTGTTTGTTTGCGCCAGGCAGGGTAACAAGAAGTACCATCTTTTAACGTCTTTTGGAATTGCGAGCCAGGGATCAAACTATCGATCTTACACTCTCAGTGCAGACAGATTATATTTGTCTATGAAATGTCCTGGTTGGTAGGTAGGAAACAAATTTAATTAAGTTTTGTAATGTTTCTGAGGTACTAACAAAAGCATTGTAACTTTTATGGAAATAAAATATGTTTCAAACATGTTACAGATGATTGAACATTGTTACATTCACTTAAACTAAAGGAGGTCCATCTAACAATACAAAAACAGTTTAGAATTACAAAAATACGCATAGCATGCCATGCATGCCCTTCAGCCGACTGTCCAGGGCTTTCTGTTATTGGCTAGCCATCTGCAGGAAAGTGCTGATGAAGAACTACAGGTCAGCTTGACTGACTGTCACACACCAGCATATTGGAGTTATTTCAAACACTGCTGGAAGCCATAACCCTAGGTATTTAATAAATTCACGAAACGCTGGTGAATCATGAGTCTGGCTCATATTACAAATATTGTATCAGCAAGTCATGTATCGATAGTGCTAAAATAATGCTGACATGTTTGTTTGCTAAACCTGTGTGTTGACAGCTACTGTCCTGATTAACCAATGAAGCAAGTATTACATACCTTTGCACATGCGACCCTGCTTTGAATAATCTTTTCAGTATCACGACATCACTTTCAAAACCATAAAACCTGTTTGAAACAAAAACACAAATTGATTATAACACACAAATTTTTGAAAGACAAAGAAAGAAAAGAAATATATACATGGACACTAAATCTTAAGTGAGTGAGTGGAACTAAATGACGCTGTGAGCAGTATTTCACTGATATCATGAATATGTAATGTATATCAGTGGAGGGGGGGGGAGGGGGAACCTGGAGTGATGTTGGACAAAGAAGATGTTTACCACTCAGCATTATGAAAATAGTTTTTTTCAAGAGAAGTCAAGATGGCTAGTGTGAACCTTTCAGTAGTTTGGAGCTTTTCCTGCAAAAGTGAAGCTTTGAGAACTCATTCAGAATAACAGCCCTCAATGCCATCATTGGGTTTTCACTTGTCCTCGGCACAATTTGGTAGCCATGGGAGTGTGAATTTCAAAGTCTGACATTTGGCCACTTCGATCAGAGTGTATGTCTATCAACAACCAACTAATATTCTAAGTATTGAAAGTGGTACACTATCAGTAAGCCACTAAACCAATGTCCGAGCGTGGTATATTTTTTTCTCGCCTATTAAGATCAACTGATACTAGTCCTTCAACAAAGTCTAAAATCTACTGAAAATAATGTCACAATGCAAGTTCTACTTGTAGACAGAAAAAAAAATCAACACTGACTGCACTCATAATTTGTTTCAACTGATTAACATGATCACCAATTCTTATCAGGTACTAATATTTTGTGCATTTTCCAGAAATTACAAATGAAATGTAACAGTCTAAAAGTGATCCTGATTTGAAATTTTATGACTATATCAATATAGCTTTATAAGATGACTATCCCCCTCCCTCTGCCCCCTCCCTCCATCCCAGCAGTACATACATCCATCCTCCTGCTGTGCTGAACTGTTCCTCGGCTCCCTTGTCTAGCTCTATGTTGGAGGCCTTCAGTACCTGGAGGGAGAAACACTCCACATTCAGATGATGCTCAACACTCATACTACCAAGAACATTGACTTAACTTAATATATGAATAACAAAATGTGTGCATGATGTTTGCTTGTTTGTTGTTTAATAACAACAGGTCTGGGGCAGACATCGATCCACACAATTGGGATACGAATGTCAGCAAAGTGATAGAAAGGTCGACGAGCCAGGTCATAAGTATTTGCTCTTTGAGAAAACCAATAACTCAGGCAGGTGTGATGCTGACAAACCAAGGATCATAGACTACCTCCAAGGTCTAGTAGTAGAGTGTCTGCCTGGAGAGCATTCGTCTTCATCAAATTACGTTCCCAAATTTCAAAAATATCAGCTTCAACAGGAAAAGAAAAAAGTAAATTTTACATCTGATAATGGTGAAGATTACAATGAGGTATTTTCACTACATGAGCTACATACTGCCTTAGGGCAAGCTCATGATACAGCAGCAGGCGCTGATAATATTCATTATCAGCTACTTAAACACTTGCCAGAATCATGTCTTGAAACTTTGTTGAATATATTCGATGATATTTGGACAGCAGGGACATTTCCACCTTCATGGCATAAAGCCATTGTTATCCCCATACCCAAACCTGGGCGGGATCATTCTGATCCATCAAATTACCGACCTATCTCTCTTACTAGCTGTGTTTGTAAAACGATGGAACGCATGGTAAATAATCGATTAGTGTGGTACTTGGAAACAAATAATCTTCTTTCCAATATACAATGCGGTTTCCGTAAAAACAGAAGTACTATCGATCACTTAGTGCGTTTAGAATCGTTCATAAAAAATTCCATTGTAAATAGACAACATGCTGTATCGATCTTTTTCGACTTAGAAAAAGCTTACGATACAACATGGAAACATGGTATTTTAAAAGATCTTCATGATTTTGGATTAAGAGGCCGTTTGCCTCATTTCATATCACAGTTTTTAACAGACAGGCAATTTCAAGTCCGAGTGGGTACAACCCTGTCTGATCATTATAATCAGGATCAGGGTGTCCCACAAGGCAGTATTTTGTCTGTCACTTTATTCAGTATAAAAATTAACAGTTTGTCCAAAGTTTTAAATGATTCAGTTGATGGATCACTTTTTGTGGATGATTTTAATCTATCTTGTCGTGGTAAAAATATGCGCACAATAGAAAGGCAATTACAATTATGTCTTAATAAAATTCACAAATGGTGTTTAGAAAACGGGTTTAAATTTTCCAAATCAAAAACTAATTGCATACATTTCTGCCGAAAATATAAACCGCATAAGGACCCTGAACTATTTCTGAATGACACTCCTATCAAAGTTGTGAAGGAGGCCAAGTTCTTGGGACTTATTTTTGATCACCACTTAACTTTCCTTCCCCATATAAAATACCTAAAAGCTAAATGCCTGAAGGCACTCGATCTCTTGAAAGTTGTTTCCAATTCAAAGTGGGGAGGGGATCAAACAACCCTCTTACACTTATACAGGTCACTGATCCGTTCAAAACTTGATTATGGCTCCATCGTCTATGGTGGAGCCTGCAAAAGTAATTTACAAAAACTAGATACGATACATCATCAGGGTCTGAGGCTTTGCCTTGGAGCCTTCAGAACGTCTCCCATTCACAGTCTCTATATAGAAGCAGATGAACCTTCTCTTAAACAACGCCGACTAAAATTATCTCTACAATACATCACTAAATTATATTCTAATCCGTCAAATCCAGCTTTTGAATGTATATTCCATCCTCTTTACGAAGATCTTTACAATAAGAAATCAGCACTCAATCCACCACTCGGAATTAGAATAAAATCTGCAATATCGGCTTCGAATATTAAACTCCAAGATATAGCTCCTACTCAACTTTTCTCATCTCCTCCTTGGCAAATGGTAAAGCCAGAGGTAGACCTGACATTAACCAAACTTAAGAAATCAGATACTAACCAATTAATATACCAACAAGAATACCATCAACTAAGAAACAATTATGACACTTATAAATCTATATTTACAGATGGATCCAAGGATGGTGGCGCAGTTGCTAGTGCCACTGTCATTGGATCCAGAACAATCTCTTCACGTTTACCTGATAACAGTTCAATATTCACTGCAGAAGCAAACGCCATTTTTACAGCACTTAAATATATCGGTAATCAATCTAAACATAACCAATTCATACTGTTTTCAGATTCTCTTTCATGCCTTCAGGCAATTAAAAATATGTCTTCAAAACATCCACTTTTAATCCAAATTCTTGAGTTATTTAATGATCTTGCTACTGGCCAATATGACATCGTCTTTTGTTGGTTACCAAGCCATGTTGGTATCATTGGTAACACAATGGCCGATGCTGCTGCAAAAGCAGCACTCAACAAATCTGTGACACCACTTCTGATCCCATACACTGATTTTAAACCCATGATTCGATCTTACATCCGAGATCTTATGCAACAGAAGTGGGACGCCCAAGTAGGTATCAATAAATTACATGAAATTAAACCAAATATCGGTTATACCTACTTGGGCTGTCAGTCCAGATTTGAAGAGGTCATTATGCGACGATGTCGTATTGGCCACAGCAGATATACGCACGAATATTTATTACAAGGTGAGGATCCTCCGTTTTGTATCCCTTGTGATGAAGGAATCACGGTCAAGCATGTCCTGCTTGACTGTGTTGATTTTTCCATCACAAGGGATAAATATTTCAATGTAAAAACAATTAAGGACCTTTTTAATGATGTTAATTCTCGTTTAATATTATGTTTTTTAAAGGAAATAGAGCTTTTTCATAAATTTTGATGTGTTCAATGTATTGTTTTACAAATTGGTAGTGCGAAATTCATAACTTAGATTGTTAGTGGCTGTACCCTTGCGAGGGGTTGAAGTAGCGTAAAATTATTGTCCCCCTAAGAGGGTATGTAAGTCCCAAATCATTCGAAGTATTTTTCTGCACACTAGGCTTTTAAACGTAGTATCTTCATTATTTTAATCTAAGGCTTAACTGGTACACTGTCGCCAGTGACTGAAGGGATGATATAAATCCTGCCGGGGTCCATGCAGGAAGCAAAAGTACTGTAAGTCCCCATGGTCCCCAGTATGGTGATCTCCCTTCAGTTGCTGACGATTTCTAGCCCATTTTTAAATTGTGATGTTCATTAATGCTTACTGCCTTTTAATATTCTCAACTAGTTTTAAATCAAGTCTGTGATATTCTAGTTATTCTACTGTCCTTCGTTGACAGCTTTTTATTCAGTTTAAATATATGTATCATAAATGTATCATAAATGTACTTTCTCGTCACGATATGGCTGAAATATTGCCCATGTGACGTTAAATAATAACTCACTCACTCACTCACTCACTGCCTGGAGAGCGGGAGGTCCGGGGTTCGATCCCCGGCCGCGTCATACCAAAAGACGTTAAAAGATTGTACTTGTAGTTACCCTGTCTGGCACTCGGCATTAAGGGGCTTAAACAAGGATCGGCCGGCTTGGAGTCAGTATACTGTGTCTGAGTGGGGTATTCATGTGAGACTGCAGCATGGTATCTCTGTGGGTTGGTACCATAAAAATCGGCATTAGTCCGGACTAGTACAAGCGCACACGCACACACTGACTGACAGACAGACAGACAGACAGACAGACAGACAGACAGACAGACAGACAGACAGACAGACAGACACACACACACACACACACACACACACACACACACACACACACACACACACACACAGAGCTATATAAGTGCAATAATCTTGGACGCAACATCAAACCCCATTTCACCTCACCTCACTATGCATCACAATCAAAGCGAATTCGGAATTCACACAGCAGATCCTGGCACTGCTAAGCAAAGCAACTCTGCACAGGTAATGACAGTACCGTAGAGCACTGGCCACCCAAGCCCCCTTCCCCTTGTATGTTGTAGTGAAGAAGCTGTATATTATAGTTACCTGGGCCAGCAGTTCTGCAGCAGCCTGGCTGGCCAGAGTCTTGTACTTCGACAGCAGAGCTGGATCTGAGAAGAACAGTATACCCCTGTACACCAACTGCTACAAACAACCACTGACAAACAGAGTTCTGGAACTCGTTCCGGTGTTTCCATCAAATGTGATTCGTCAGTAATTGCATTCCAAGCTTCATTTCACATTGACGCAGATTCATAATTGTCAAGGGGAGTTGTGAGGGCTTGCTGTACATAATGTTGGAGGAGGTTGTTGAGAGATGGCTGTGAGGGGTGTTTGTGAGGGGTTGTTGCGAGTGATGATTGTGAGCGGTTGTTGTGAGGGGTTGTGTGAGATGGTTTTTAGAGTGAATGAAATGGGTGGTTGAAGAGGGGGTTGTTGAGAGGATGGTTGTGTAGGATGGTTGTAAGGTTTGTTTGTTTGTTGTTTAACGCCGCACTCAGCAATATTCCAGCTATATGACGGCGGTCTGTAAATAATCAAGTCTGGACCAAACAATCCAGTGACTGACATCATGAGCATCGATCCACGCAATTGGGATATGATGACTGGGATATGATGACATGCATCAACCAAGTCAGCGAGCCGGACCACCATATCCCGTTAGTCACCTCTTACGACAAGCATAGTCAGCTTTTACGGTAAGCATGGGTTGCTGAAGACCTATTCTACCCCAGATCTGGTTGTTGGGGATGGTGTGAGGCATGGTTGTGTAAAGTGGTTGTGAGGGATTGCTGTAAGTGGTTGCTGTGAGGGATGGTTGTCAGGGAATGCTGTAAGGGGTTGCTGTAAGGGGTTGCTGTGAGGGGTTGCTGTGAGGGGTTGCTGTAAGGGGTTGCTGTAAGGGATGGTTGTGAGGGGTGGTTGTGATGGATAGTGGTGGATAGTGGTTGTTAGGGGAAGTGGTTGTGAGGGATAGTAGTGGGGGTGGTTGTGAGGGGTGGTTGTGATGGATAGTTGTGGAAGGTGGTTGTGAGGGGTTCTGGTGGGAGGTGGTTGTGAGGGGTGGTTGTGAGGGGTTCTGGTGGGAGGTGGTTGTGAGGGGTGGTTGTGAGGGGTGGTTGTGAGGGGTTCTGGTTGGAGGTGGTTGTGAGGGGTGGTTGTGAGGGGTGGTTGTGAGGGGTGGTTGTGAGGGGTTCTGGTGGGAGGTGGTTGTGAAGGGTGGTTGTGAGGGGTGGTTGTGAGGGATAGTGGTGAGAGGTGGTTGTGAGGGATAGTGGTGGGAGATGACTCTGAGGAATAGTGGGAGAAGGTGGTTGTGAGGGATGGTTGTTGGAGATAGTTGTGAGGGATAGGGGTTGTTGGATATATTTGTGAGGGATAGTGGTTGTTGGAGATAGTTGTGAGGGATAGGGGTTGTTGGAGGTAATTGTGAGGGATAGTGGTTGTTGGAGATAGTTGTGAGGGATAGGGGTTGTTGGAGATAGTTGTGAGGGATAGGGGTTGTTGGAGATAGTTGTGAGGGATAGTGGTTGTGAGGGATAGTGTTGGGAGGTGGCTGTAATGAATAGTGGGGGGAGGTGGTTGTGAGGGATGGTTGTTGGAGATAGTTGTGAGGGATAGGGGTTGTTGGAGATAGTTGTGAGGGATAGTGGTTGTTGGAGATAGTTGTGAGGGATGGTTATGGGGGTGGTTGTGAGGGATAGTGGTGGGAGGTGGCTGTAAGGAATAGTGGGGGGAGGTGGTTGTGAGGGGTGGTTGTGATGGATAGTGGTGGAAAGTGGTTGTGAGGGTTGGTTGTGATGGATAGTGGTGGAAAGTGGTTGTGAGGGGTGGTGGTGGGAGGTGGTTGTGAGGGGTGGTGGTGGGAGATAGTGGTGAGAGGTGGTTGTGAGGGTTGGTTGTGATGGATAGTGGTGGAAAGTGGTTGTGAGGGGTGGTGGTGGGAGGTGGTTGTGAGGGGTGGTGGTGGGAGGTGGCTGTAAGGAATAGTGGTGGGAGGTGGCTGTAAGGAATAGTGGTGGGAGGTGGCTGTAAGGAATAGTGGGGGGAGGTGGTTGTGAGGGATGGTTGTTGGAGATAGTTGTGAGGGATAGTGGTTGTTGGAGATAGTTGTGAGGGATGGTTATGGGGGTGGTTGTGAGGGATAGTGGTGGGAGGTGGCTGTAAGGAATAGTGGGGGGAGGTGGTTGTGAGGGGTGGTTGTGATGGATAGTGGTTGAAAGTGGTTGTGAGGGGTGGTTGTGATGGATAGTGGTGGAAAGTGGTTGTGAGGGGTGATGGTGGGAGGTGGTTGTGAGGGGTGGTGGTGGGAGGTGGTTGTGAGGGGTGGTGGTGAGGAATAGTGGGGGGAGGTGGTTGTAAGGAATAGTGGGGGGAGGTGGTTGTGAGGGATGGTTTGTAGGATAGTGGTGAGAGGTGGTTGTGAGGGATAGGGGTTGTTGGAGATAGTTGTGAGGGATAGTGGTTGTTGGAGATAGTTGTGAGGGATGGTTATGGGGGTGGTTGTGAGGGATAGTGGTGGGAGGTGGCTGTAAGGAATAGTGGGGGGAGGTGGTTGTGAGGGGTGGTTGTGATGGATAGTGGTTGAAAGTGGTTGTGAGGGGTGGTTGTGATGGATAGTGGTGGAAAGTGGTTGTGAGGGGTGATGGTGGGAGGCGGTTGTGAGGGGTGGTGGTGGGAGATAGTGGTAAGAGGTGGTTGTGGGAGATAGTGGTGAGAGGTGGTTGTGAGGAATAGTGGGGGGAGGTGGTTGTAAGGAATAGTGGGGGGAGGTGGTTGTGAGGGATGGTTTGTAGGATAGTGGTGAGAGGTGGTTGTAATCAACACAAAATGGGTTGGGGAGGAGGAAGAAGAGAAAGAGGATGAGTCCATGAGAGAGGTTTTTGCAAATGACAATGTTTTTTCTCCTCACTTAGATGATGAAAATGAACTCAGTTCTAATCAGTTTACAGATATTGATGCATTCATACTAAATTCTACGATAACTGAACATGAAATTACATCATCAATAAATAAGTTAAAAAAAGGAAAATCCGCCGGGCCCGATCAAGTGCTGATAGAAATGCTTAAATGTTCCCAATTAGATATTATGCCATTTCTTCATAAATGTTTCAACAAACTCTTTGATAATCAAATATTTCCAAACAGTTGGTCTTGTTCAGAAATAGTCCCTCTACATAAAAAAGGCGATCCGAGAAACCCTGACAACTACAGGGGGATCTCATTAATGAGTGTTCTGGGGAAAATTTTTACCTCTGTTTTGAATAACAGGCTTACTAACTGGGCAAATATGAGAGATAAGATACCGGAAGTTCAAGCTGGTTTTAGAAAAAATTATTCAACCGTAGATCATATTTTTACATTATATGCTGCAATTCAAAAATGTCTAACACGTCGTAAACACAAGGTTTACGTTGCTTTTATTGATTTTAAAAAGGCATTTGATACAGTTGATCGTTATAAATTATGGTGTTGTTTAAGAAAAGCTGGACTACAAGGGAAGATGTTTAATATAATACAATCAATGTATTCAAATATCAAGTCATGTGTACGTAGTGATTATGGTGTTACTGATTTTATCGATTGCCCATCTGGTTTACGTCAGGGATGTATACTGAGTCCTCTGTTATTTTCGTTTTTCATAAGCGAATTATATTATGAAATCTCAAGTAACGGCAAGCATGGTATACAGATGTATCCTGACATCCTTGAACTTCTTATGCTCCTTTTTGCCGATGATGTTATTTTACTATCTGACACTGTTATTGGTCTACAGAATCAGTTGAATGTATTAGATAAATATACTAAGGAATGGAATTTATCTGTAAATTTAGATAAGACAGAAATTATAGTATTCAGAAAAGGGGGTCCTTTAAATTTTAGGGAAAGATGGTACTTAAATGGACAACAAATTAATGTAGTTAATGGTTATAAGTATCTCGGCATAATGTTTAATTCAACACTAAATATGAACAAATGTGTATCTGACTTATCACTGCGAGGGAAACGAGCTTTACTTAATATAATGTCTGTTTCACATAAACTTGGAGTTATTACTCCAAAAGTATTTTTCAAATTATTTGATACTCAAATACAGCCAATTTTATTGTATGGATCTGAAGTGTGGCGTTACCGAAGATATGAATGTTTAGAAAGAATTCACCTACTGGCATGTAAAAAGTTTCTTCGCGTTGGAATAGCAACACCAAATAATATGATATATGGAGAATGTGGAAGATACCCACTTTACATTAATTCACAAATAAAGTGTTTAAAATATTGGTTTAATATCATCCGTATGCCAGAACATCGGCTTCCGAAAAAAGCTTATAACATGCTCTTTCATTTAGATAGTATCGGTAAGGTTACATGGGTATCGCATATTAGGACACTATTATTCTCACATGGATATGGGTATATATGGCTTAACCAATCTGTTGGTGATCAACATTTATTTCTAAATGATTTTCGTAAAATAGCAATAAATATGTTCTATCAAGGGTGGCAATGCAACTTGGAAAATAGTTCACGTTATGATTTGTACAGAACATTTAAGACTCTATTAGAGCCAGAAAAATATCTATCAGTTTTAACAAATAGTCACCTAAGAAATGGATATATTAAATACAGACTTGGCTTGTCAAAACTTATGATTAACTATGGACGGAATATATCACTTGAAAGAATACAAAGAATTTGTCCATTCTGTAACTCTGCAATAGAAGACGAAATACATTTTACCTTTGAATGTCCTTATTATGCAGAATTACGTACTAAATATATACCAGAATGTTTCTTATCTAAGACAAGTAGAATAGCTTTTGTTTCTATTTTGTCATCGAATGATGCCGATGTAATGTTTAAACTGTCTTTATTTGTAAAACATGGGATGGAACTACGAAATAACATGTTGAGTGGAAATTCATAATTTTAATTACCTCACCCTAGAAAGTCCTCATGATTATCACCGATTGTTAAATGAATGTTATATTTATATAATTTTTGTTGTATCTCCCAATCTGTAAATTCTCACCCACTGTATTTATCTGAACTTGTATATGGGCCGATGGCCTTTGATACAATAAACATCTTTGACTTGACTTGACTGATATGATGTTAGCTCTAGCCCACCTGTAGACTCACATGCCTGCTCCATGACAACCTCTGGGATATTCTGAGTCTGAGAGTTCTTCCTTCTGGCCACCTGTCTGAGAGCAGCTGAATCACTGACCGACCTCTGGAGGGGCTGCTTTCCATTCTCGACGGTCTTCTTGTCAGACACACAGTCCTGGAGGATCTCCTCACTCCCTGCCTGATCTCCTTGAGGGGTTTCCTCAGGACACACCGTATTCCCCACAACCTCAGTTTCTACCTTCTCAGAGGCAGATGAACCAAATTTCAAAATACTGGAATACTTTTTAATCTCCTCTTTTTGAGCTTCAACTTTGGATGCATTATTACTTTGAGCAGTTTTTTCTATGAATGATTTGAACTTTGTTATGAGTTTGTGTGACTTTTTCCCTTCCGTTTTGAGCTCTTTCTCATCTGACTTAGGCGTGCTGGATGTGAAGCTGGGTGCAGAAATGTCTCGGGGCAAAGACAGGGTAAGCAGGGGTGTGGCTTGCATCTTACGCAAGTGCAGAAACTCTCGCAGAGATCCTAGAGTAGCTGCCGCCATCTCCCCAGATTCATTTCCATCATTCCCTGAACTCCATGTTACTATGGTTACCAGGCTCTGGTCAACTTCTGTGCAGACAAAAATTTAAAATGAAAAGTGACAAGATGTTTCAACATCAATGAGTGCTGAAAAAAACATTCTTTAACCTTTTCAAATGATGAATTTGTAGTTGTACTTGTAGTTCAGAGTTTGTATTTACTAAGCAATACGTTTCACAAAACATTTTACAGACATTAATGTGGATTGTACTTGATCCAAAAATTAAATGGAAAACACACTGAAATGATTGTCTGCATGCAAGAAAAGAAGTTATTCAGTAAAACAAAAAATAAAAATACAAAAGTTGTAAATATACATTGGTGGTCATAAATGGGTTGTTTGTCATGCAATAAAAAGACGGGTTTGAGTGAGTGAGTGAGTGAGTATGGTTTTACGCCGCTTTTAGCAATATTCCAGCAATATCACGGCGGGGGACACCACAAATGGGCTTCACACATTGTACCCATGTCGGGAATCGAACCCGGGTCTTCTGCGTGACGAGCGAACGCTTTAACCACTAGGCTACCAAGACGGGTTTGAAGGGGTTAATGTTCAGGAACTATGGAACATGCAACTAGGTTATCTAAACTGTACTAAACATGCTACAGGAGAATCAAAGTGGCAAATATGGTGGGGAACTACTCACAGATTCTGTGTTTTCACTGCTAAGGGCATGATGGGATACGGATCAAAGTTCTGAGTCTAACTACGAAGGATGTATGATACACCCTCAACAGTTTGCATGTATAAAGTACAATACTTTCCATGCTTAGATGCTGCCTGTGAACCAAATACACAACCTGGCAGCATACGTCTGCATGGCATCAAAGTGACTAGTCAGTCTCTGTTGATGAAAATGGACAAAACGAAGTATCTCCAACTAACAGGGCTAACTCCAACAGCCATCCATGCAGACTACAGGGGATAATACTCCTTCATTTGCCACAGTGAACAAGTAGGACACAGAGTTCAAGATGGGAAAAGAGGGCCTCGAAGACGACCCAAGGTCAGAAAGACTTCCAACCAACTGTCACTTCTAAGGAAAATGTTGACAACATATGTGACGTGATCATGGACAGTGCACCACAGGTCACATGGCCAAGGCAGTGGGCATCTCTCATGAGAAGGTGGAGAATGTTCGGAGGAATGAACTGGTGAAAGGTTTCAGCATGCTGGTTTCCCAGGCTTCTGACCAGATAATGTTCCAGGTTCATCATCTGTTGTGACAATTTAAGTGGTTTGAGAGCAGACCCAGCTGATTTTGTTGAGTGATCTGTAACCACAGATGAACGAGTCATGGATTCACAATATCAGCCAGAGACTAAACAACAGTCAAAGCAGTGGAAACATCTAACGTCTCCTGCTTCGAAGAAGGCAAAGTCTGTTCCATCAACTTGCAAGGTGATGGCTTCTGTTCTCCCCGGTCAAGATCATTAATCTGCTGAGGCAACTGTGAAAGAATATCAAGACTAATACTCACTAAAGGTGTGTTGTTCCACCAGAAGAACATACCTGTGCACAACTCTGTTATTGCAATGGCTTTAATGCATGACAGTGGGTTTGAAACCATTAAACATCCTCCGTATTCACCAGACTAGGTGTCATCACTACATCTGAGTTTCATCTCTTACCAAACTTGAACTGTCTGGCAAGCATTATGCAAATGATGATGACACCAATGCTGCTGTAGAGGACTTTTGACACCACCAGGAGAAAGCCTTCTACACCAGTAGGGTCCAGGCACTCCAGCATCTTTGGCAGAAGTGTGTGGACATTGTGGGGGGTGGGGGGGTGGTGGGGGTGGGGGGGGTGATTATGTTGAAAACTAATTGGCAACCAACTCCATTAAAGCAGGCCATCATAGCTAGGCTTAGAACTTTTCAGCCACCCCTTGTAACTTAATTTACAATTCTTTTACACTAAAGAGTCAGGTATGACACAGTCAGACCTGTCTGCAATTGCTGCAAACAGTGAGTGAGTGAGTCGGACACCACTTTGAGCAGTTTTACCGTTATATCATGGTGTCTCAGGAAAATGTTGGGAGAAAGTTTTAAGTGATGCAGGTAAAAGACATTAACAAATTTGGTGAAACCCATGCAGTCAGACCAAGGATCAAGACTAATCTGAAGATTCCAACACTCAATTAGCAGATCTTTGTGTGGCCAAGAGGTGTGCAGACATTCAAACACAAGGCTTTGTTCACGTCTTTTTTTTCATCCAGACAACATGGTCAACAAAAAAGATTGGTTTTAATCATTTAATTTAATTTTATAATATATATGGCTTTATAATAAAAACAGAACAATGCACCATCCAGGATTATTGTTAAATGTACTGCACATTCTCCCTTTCAAAGTTCCATTTGGGAAGGTTTCGAGTACCTGCCCTGAGAAAAATGTTAAAACTAAAGAACAAAACTATCCTCATGGAATTATTAACAGAAGAACAGAGTCAGTAATAGACATACTTTACCTCCACCATTGACCATGCCTTAGTGGGACAGTCCTGTGACTATGGCAACACCATGCACTGGCCAAGTGACCGGTAAAGGAAACCTTATACTGACCAAACCAACCTTCCACGGGTTGGGCAAGGAAAAACGTCCATGCTTGTCTCTTTTCATTCATCTGCAGTAACCAGCAGCATCCATTGTCTTCTCTGTGCCAGAGCCTGTATATGTGATGAGTCATTAAGGATTACATGGTAAGTCACCATGACAACCTAGTTGTCATAATAAATGTAACAGAGTAATATTATTCTCATAAATAATTATATTAGTGAATAATTATTATAGCTCATTTCTTCAATGTGCAGATGAAATGGAGAAAAATGAATTTAATTATGAAAATCCATTCACATAGGGCCATAATGATTTTTTATTTAGATTTTTTCTTGGACCCAGAATGACACTTTGGGAACAAATATCATTCATTTCTCATTTCAAAAACTACAGTATTTGAAATGATATATTGTGGTATTATTATCCAAATGGAAAACATGCCTTTATTTCTGTGTGCAATGTTACATACAGTACATAATAGAAAATAAATATCTGTTTTTATATCAGACTTTCACACAAAATGCATTCTTGAAACACCAGTAACCAACTTTTACGTCAATAAACAAACTAAAAAATTGCCTTTTGATATTATCAAGAAGATACATTGCATATTGTTTAGATATTTAAATTCTATTTCAATTACAAAGTGAAACTTTGCAAAAAATATTTACGCGCTTTGGTTTTGAACATGGAATGTACCACTTCAACTGAAATCAAGATAACCTTTAGGAAATTAGAGTAACCTCCCCTTAACTTATGAAAGCAACATGGCCACAGCAAGGTACAGGCAGTTCCTTAGGCTTTGTGAAGAATGGCCATTAGATAAGACCAAAACAGGAAGAGATCTTGCAACTGTGATACGCCAGAAGGTTGGAGAAGCTTTCAAACAGGGTGAGGCCTCACAAATAAATGAAGCACAGTGCAATGATGCATTTGAACATTTGAACAAAATCAACATAAATGCTTTCAAACGTAAATATGAAAGGACATCAGAAACTGGTGCCACTGGGGCAGAGAAGGAACAGTGTACACTTGTAGTATCCTCTGACACCCTCCAAGAGCTTAACAATGCAGATATGGGATTTGTTGCAAAGATGAAGAGGACACTGGGATTTGAAGGTTGAATGGGATATTCAGCATCACACAAACCAGTTTCCCCTCCCTCCCTCGCTACCTCTGGCTGATCAGTTCTACATCAGGTGGAATTAGATGCTCAACAAGGAAATACTGAACTTTTGAATCACTTTACTAAACAGCCAAAGTGTTTTGAAACATATTCATGGTTGTTCAACCTTCAGTCAACACGATCAATGAATGGCTGTACGTCATTCTTCACTACAAATGAGCAAAATGGGTGTTCACTAGCTGTTCACTATGATCCACAAGGACTACAAGCTCACCGAATTTAGACAAATGTACAAAGTAGAGATAATTTATTGATAACAACTTCTTTATTTACTAGTAAGTCAAGGCGACGTTTCGGTATAAATCCTTATACCATTGTCAAGCAAGGCTGAAGCAAGACATATGTACATACAGTCAAAACTGAAGGTTTTACATGATTGTTTGAATAAAAATATATATCATAATACATGTATGTATGTTCTTTCTGACTACTATGTCTAAACTCTTCTATAAATTATGATCATGCCAATATACACGAAGGCTGTGTACATTGAACAAACTGATGACACATATCAAACAATGAGAAATCATGCCTTTAATATTTAACACATGGATCAGGAGCACAGGAGTTGCCATGTTTATTATTCATGTCCCATGCACAACTGGCATGGCAATGTTATGAATATTTTTGTAGTGAAATCAGTCCAGAAAGTACAGTGATAACATCCACTACACGGATCAAGACCCACATACATGTACACAAGACACTCCTACAACATTACCACAGTGGATACCTACTAGATCCTGAAGTTGCACAATGGAAAACATACAAATTTCAATAATGTATAACACCGACATTATAACAAGTACCATATTCGACGTAATAAGCGCCCAGGGCGCTCTCAAAATTAGGAATAGGGGGCTCTTATTAGAATATTATTTTAGTGAAAAAAACAGAGTTGAAAGATAAATTTCGTGGTTTATGCTGACAGACTGAAATGTTTATGTACGACAGATATATTTTTCCAGAATTAAATTCCCCATAATTAAGGGGAGTGTGTATTATACGCGAATAAATAAGTCTTGTGTACATTGATCAATTGGAAGGGGTGCTAATTGGAATTGTTCACTAGCCAATATATTAGCAAATATCGCCATGGGCGCTTATTAGAGCGGCGCGCTTATTACGTCGAATACGGTAATGGTTATTGACTTAACACACATCTGAACCAGTTAACACAAGGGTTTTATGTTTTTTAGACCCACTGAGGTGCAACCAACTACTGAAAACATGCTTTACAGAGCTGGACCTGATAGGTGAAAATGCTGACTTTTGTTGTTTCTATTTCTTTCCTGTGTATAAGATGTAATTGGCAGTATCAATCAGCAGGATCAATGTCTCATGCCCATTAAAAGTCTTGTTATGGACGTAATCAGTGGAATGTGTGGAACTGAGATACTGTAATTAGTGTAATGATAAACAGCTAGACTGATGCACCATGGTATACAATAAATCATGAATTTAATGGGAGTTCCCAAACCTTTTCTTAAAAGTATGAAAATGTGAGTAACACTACCTTTAAACATGTTTTAGTTCATAATCGCAATATGACAAAAGCAATTGTGACATACCATACCAAGTATTGGGTATTTGCAGTTAGACTGAATAATGCATTTACATTTATCCCAAATATAACCTATCAAATATACCTACACGTTGTTACAGGTGATCTGACCACCTTGAAACCAATAGGTTTCAGTGTTGTTACATACACAAGTTAGCATTATCTTTTGAACGTAAGAAAACATTGTTACTCATTAAGCATCTGGTGTTGTGTAACTGTACTTGATTATCAGTGTTCGCAATAACTACCTGCCCTTATTCTCAGCACGGTCAGATATGCTGTCGATTCAGCAAATTTATGTTGATATGTTTGTCAGCATAACATGTAGATTTGCGTTTCATTTTTCTTGACGAATATTTTCAGCCAGTCACATGATGTACATAAACGTTAATGTCCAGAGTCTTTAGTGCAGTTACAGTCAATATATTCATATAACCAGTCAAAACATGATGTCCTTATTGTGTAGATTCAGGCATTATACACAGACTCTGAACGTACCATGCTGAGTTCAGCACCGACTCCAATCCAGTCGGGACCTACGGGTTCCACAGTCTCTTGTTATGGATGGTAGTTGGGCAATTTTGTTTTCTTTAACGCTGCTTTACATGTTCACTTTGTTGATGATTAGTTATCATGGTCATGGCTTGCGACGGTAATGACCTTGTCATAACTGCTTTGAATCCACTCGTGTAAACAAATCGTGACCAGATTTGACAATACCCAGTGAAAAATACTAAGTTAAGTGACAAATTAGACGGTATATTGAGAGCTTTGTTTTGTGACATATGTAATTGCTTCCGGTGAACCTGATGTGGCTGAAAACTTCAATATGTCAGCATGGTAATCCAGTAGGTGGGCACTTGATTAATGCAAGCAAGGGGTACGTGCCTCACATCTTTGGTTTTGATTTCATGCTCGCATTAATTTCACAAATTTCAGTACAGCACAATATGTGAATTTGCAGAAAAACAAGGGGTTTGATATATTGAATGACTTGAAAGAAATCTGCTGGGACAGCTATTTGGTCTGAAACCAGACTCTCTACATGCTCTAACCAGGAAACTATTAGTCATTAGTCCACACATTGATACAATACTCTTCAAACCCCAACACAAGCAATCTCTGACTTTCAGATAAAGCAGTGTTCCACATAATTTTTCAACCATATGATTATGAGTACAGTACAGGTCTTTATTAGAACTGACGAGTATCAGACATATGTTTTTCAAACCAATGAGTACCATACTGCTCATTTGTAATTGCAGACTTGACGAGTACTGGTAGGATATTGCACAGCCATCGTACAAAGACCTCGTGTTGTTCATTCAGATTTTGGTGCTAGACTAATGTAAACTCAAGAGAGAATTGGAATGCACAATTATTAACCAATGACAATGCAGAATTGGAACACACGATATTACTTATTTCCGTTTAAGCGGAAAGCTTTTGACAATAAATGGACAAGGTACTTTGACAAGCATGTGGTATTGGTATCATATTTGATATGATTTTAATTTGCAATTGGTCTGTATTTGACTGGTTTTCATCCATACAATACACCGATACAGCATCTGTCTGGAGCACTGCTTTCCAAGGATATAATCAAAACATGTAGAACTTTATCTAATTATCTATCACGGCATGTTCAGTTCCTCCAGTTCTACCAGAAAAGTACCAAGGTCTTTTCAAGAGGCCCTGTAGGGGTGAACACAAGAAGGGCTTGTTCACCATGATTCATAATGTGTTCATTATGCTTTGAATATGTCACATTTAAATTTTGTAATCAGCATGGATAGTTATTGTTTTCAATCCTTAAGAGTTTAAAATTTAATACAACACCGAAATACAAAATGAAATATGGTCCCAAAGGGGTTGGGTTTGGGCTGGGAAAAGTCCAAATTTACCACCCTATTACCCGGCCCCACCTGATATAGGTCTCAAGAGTTGGGTACAAAATGTCCGCATGGGAATCGTTTTACCGCAACCCTGGCAAAAGTTATTTAGATACACATATAAAACGACCTGATCATGCATACGCTGAAGATGACTGTAACTTATCTCTACTCAATTACCGTATACAACGCAACAAGCGCCCAGGGCGCTCTAAAAATTAGTGTGTATTATACGCAAATAAATATATAAGACGTGTACATTGACCAGTCGCAAGGGGTGCTAAATGAGATTGCTACCAGCCAATATATCAGCAAATATCGCCGTGGGCTCTTATTAGAGCGGGGCGGTTAATACGTCGAATACTGTATATAAAGTCACAAGGAATGTGAACATCGACTTGTAGTGTAGCCATTGAGTTTTATTGTTATTGTCATTATACAGTATATCACGTGGCTATCTATGAGTCCTTGTAGTCCTGTGGATACACGGGACCTACTCAGGAGCCACCGGACCTATGTACCCGAGTTACCTGTCCCAGCCCAAGGCTGGTCACTGTGAGACCGTGCAAGGTATACCAGCAACCCCACAACATCAACAAGGTTTCATTGTGTAGGACAAGTTAAGAATCTATCTACATGACCTATAGAATTATCAATAATTATTTTGTTAGTTCGTAGGACACATGCTAGTCTCTAACATAGCTACCTTTAGGGGGAAACACAGGTTTGTTGTGTGATGAGCTGATGAGTAAATACTCGGATTATTAGGAGTTCATCCAAATAGAAATAAACTGCAAGTGATTCCAGGACATTTGATTGACTCACCAAGCAATTTGTTTTCCATTTATGTTTCCACTAACTTAAAAACAATTAGGCCAGGCCCACCTTAGGGACTACTGCTTCCTGATTGGCTGATAATAGTGGGTGGGGCTTGTGTTGCATAATGGCACTAATCGATGTCACTGGTTTAGTACTGTCTACAGTTTCTTTATGTTAATGATTATCTATGCAGATTTTTGACTTATTTATTTATAAGAATTGACTTCAATATTATGTTGCCCTTACAGAGGTATAAACGTATAAGCCGGTGTGCACACATTTTTTAATCCTGCAGATTTCAAATTGTGCATACTGGTTTTCTTTTTTATACCTCCATAAAAACAAAAAACAATAATAAATTGTAAGCTTATCCTACGAGGAATACGGTTTCATGTACTCTCCGCACAGATGTGTACTACGTACCAATTGTATTTTACCGCCAGTTTATCATTTACCACAATTTGAAAAACAGACTGAGATGTGAAGTGGTTTTTTTGCCTTATGAATTGCCGAGATTACAGAGATACATAGCGAGGGTATATTTTTTCTAGTATTTAACATGTAAGGATAAGATTTGTAATCACCACTGATAAAGTCAGGATACCTCAAGATGATCCTTTATATCCAGTTTCATTTTTGCTTTTTTTCCTAAGGAAGTAATTTGAAACCTATGTTACCTGGAGCTAGAATTATGAGAGAGAAACCCACCTCCGATATTCCTCGGTGGTTGTCTGGGTGATGTTGGGCTGCCACCAGGCATCGAATGGTCTGGACGGGCGTTGACACACCCTTTCCTCCCTCACCACATCTTGCTTCACCGGCATGGGCGGCACACCCTTGGACTTGACCGGGACGTCGTGGGAGCTTACATCGCGGACATACGATGTGGCCACCACTCCGGGCTTCCATTCACATGTCATGGAAACATCTTTGAGGAGTTGAAGTACAGACTGCAATGGAAAAGACAAGTACCTTCAGGGAGGACTATAAGAGCATTTTAACTATAATTAAATAATTTTAATTTTTTTATAAGTTTGTATGATGGCAGTCTGCAAATAATCAAGTCTGGATCAGACAATCCAGTGATTGACATCATGAGCATCGATCAATGCAATTGGGATACAATGACATTTATCAACCAAGTCAGCAAGCCTGACCACCCGACCCTGTTAGTCGCCTCTTACAACAAGCATAGTCACCTTTATATGCCAAGCATGGATTGATGAAAATCTATTCTAACACGGATCTTCACAGGTTTCTTGAATACAGATTTTGCCTCTTCTGCAGTTTGCAAAATAACTGCTAACTGTACACAGTGTTTAAGCAACAATCTATCCCCTCACTTTGAATTAACAGTCTAACCAATCACTTTGTTAGCTGGTCCATCGATTATTTTTGCACTGTGAGAAACAGGTGACTATTTTGTCAAATTAATAAAGGCAATAGTCCATAACATTGCTTCGTATGCTATGTGATGGATCAGTGATAGAAGCTAACTGTTTTTGTCTACTAGTCCTTATAATGATAACATATAGCAAAACCCTCAAAATGGCAGATTTCTACTGGTCCTTATGATACCTTAACTATTGGGCAGTTTGGCAAGGACTTTAGGACCAGTGCCAATTTCTAACGCTGTGGATTTATTGGCAATGTGAGAAATGTGCCATCATATTGCCCCACACGACACTTAAGTTATGAAGCATCAGTCTATACCATCACATTTTTCATAACTAGAGGCTTGTGTGTTTTTGAGAGACAGTAACTAGGGGCTTGTGTGTTCTTGAGAGACAGTAACTAGGGGCTTATGCGTGTTCTTGAGAGACAGTAACTAGAGGCTTGTGTGTTTTTGAGAGACAGTAACTAGGGCTCATGCGTTTTTGAGAGACAGTAACTAGGGGCTTGTGTGTTTTAGAGAGACAGTAACTAGGGGCTAATGTGTGTTCTAGAGAGACAGTAACTAGGGGCTTGTGTGTTTTTGAGAGACAGTAACTAGGGGCTAATGCGTTTTTGAGAGACAGTAACTAGGGGCTTGTGTGTTTTGGGGAGACAGTAACTAGGGGCTTATGTGTGTCCTTGAGAGACAGTAACTAGGGGCTTGTGTGTTTTAGAGAGACAGTAACTAGGGGCTTATGTGTGTCCTTGAGAGACAGTAACTAGGGGCTTGTGTGTTTTTGAGAGACAGTAACTAGGGGCTTATGTGTGTCCTTGAGAGACAGTAACTAGGGGCTTATGTGTTTTAGAGAGACAGTAACTAGGGGCTTATGTGTGTCCTTGAGAGACAGTAACTAGGGGCTTGTGTGTTTTTGAGAGACAGTAACTAGGGGCTCATGCGTTTTTGAGAGACAGTAACTAGGGGCTTGTGTGTTTTGGGGAGACAGTAAATAGGGGCTTGTGTGTTCTAGAGAGACAGTAACTAGGGGCTTGTGTGTGTCCTTGAGAGACAGTAACTAGGGGCTTGTGTGTTTTTGAGAGACAGTAACTAGGGGCTTATGTGTGTCCTTGAGAGACAGTAACTAGGGGCTTGTGTGTTTTAGAGAGACAGTAACTAGGGGCTAATGTGTGTCCTTGAGAGACAGTAACTAGGGGCTTATGTGTGTCCTTGAGAGACAGTAACTAGGGGCTTATGTGTGTCCTTGAGAGACAGTAACTTGGGGCTTATGTGTGTTTTTGAGAGACAGTAACTACAGGCTTATGTGTGTCCTTGGGAGACTGTGGACTTAAGTTACAACACGTGTGTTTCTGGTTTCCTTGCCCTAATCTGGGGGTGCACAGTAGTTGTGACACATTCTCTGATGTGTCAAGCTGAACTGACTACAGTAGTTGTCTCATGTTCTCCGACAAAGGGTAGCAGACAGCTGCTGTTAGTACCAGCTGCTAATGTTTCATTAACAAAAGAACATTCAACTTATTGACAAATACAATTTTTTATTGCCTCGAGCAAGTCAAGTATAACAGGTAAATAACTGTAGAACTAATAGGCTAGGCTTTATTCCAACCATATTCAAGTACCACTTCAACACTACTCAATAAATCATTAACTTGTATTTTCTGAAGATAATCTGCTTCCAGCAAGTTCAGGGCTTCATAAATTAAGTCTTCTATTTAAGCTTTATTAAGTTGTTGTTGTTGCTGTTTGTTGTTTAACGCCGCACTCAGCAATATTCCAGCTATATGACGACGGTTTGACGCCCATAATACTGATGCTTCAATTTTGCTTCAAATTGGAACTGAATAAAACTGACACAAAATGTAAAGGATTTTTTTTTGTTGACTAGTGAAAAAAGGTCTCTGGATTAATGTTTGAGAAACCATTTCAAAGGCAACACTGTATACTGTCAGGCAAGGTACAACGTGCTGTCAATATTGTAAACAATGGTTAAACATGGCAGTTAGCCCTAATTATCAGGATAATATTTCTGTCAGTACTGAAATAAATGTGACTTGGTTTTTATGTAGTCTGTAAACATTTTCTCTTTATGCTGACCAAAATATCTTTATCCTTTTCAAAGCAAGACTTACATCATAAAGAATACATTTAATCTTCAAGTCAGAACCGGGGCAAAATATGAACACTATTCCACCAGTCCATGGACTACTGAACATGGTGAAAGTCGGGAAGGACTACAAATCTGAACCACTTGTCCAAAACAAGTTGGGGACTAGTTGTTATTTATGCTATCTTTCAGCTGTAACCATGGTAACTGGTGCAAGAGCTGCAAACAATCACTGAAAGAATTTACCCAACATATTATTCATGGCACTGCCTCGTGTCATGTTTATCATGCTAAATGACATTATTAATGTGCTATGTATGTTGAATACACAATGTCACATAAACTATACACCAAATGAACCAAACATTATCTATTGACCGTTTGTGCATGTTGTGTTTTTTTTGTTCGTTCATAACTTCTTTCATGTGGTCGTTCCTGTGTGACTTTGTTCATGATTGAGTGAGTTAGTGAGTGTAGTTTATGCTACAGCCAGTTATATCATCATCTGCAAATCATCACATCCAAGCCAGGCTGGCTATTGGTTGGGGATTTCAATATAATTTGTTTCATCTATGTCACAGACCCGTGAAGATCCAGGGTAGAATAGGTCTTCAGTAACCCACGCTTGCCATATAAGGCGCCTATGCTTGTCGTAAGAGGCGACTAATGGCATCGGGTGGTCAGGCTCGCTGACTTGGTTGATGCATGTCATCGTATCCCAATTGCATTGATTGATGCTTATGATGTCAATCACTGGATTGTCTGGTCCAGACTCGATTATTTACAGACCGCCATAATATGGCTAGAATATTGCTGAGAGCGGCATTAAACAACAAACAAACACAGACTAAGAGAGACACAATACATGCAGTAGGACTTATTTTGGTCTGTTTCTTTGCCAGCAATATTCCAAATATATGATGTAAATAATTGAATCTAGACCAGACAATCCAGTTACTGATATTGTGAGCAACGATCATCACAGTATGGATAAAATGACATGCTACTGGGATGTCAACCAAGTCTCCCTGTCTGACCACCCAATCAATCTGGTCGCCTCTTATGACCAGCAGAGGTTGCTGACGACCTATTCTAACCTGGAATTTCCACAGGGTTGCCTGTTACGACCAGCAGAGGTTGCTGAGGACCTATTCTAACCTGGAATTCCCACAGGGTTGCCTGTTACATCCAGCAGAGGTTGCTGAGGAACTATTCTAACCTGGAATTTCCACAGGGTTGCCTCCTACGACCAGCAGAGGTTGCTGAGGAACTATTCTAACCTGGAATTTCCACAGGGTTGCCTGTTACGACCAGCAGGGGTTGCAAAGGACCTATCCTAACCTGGAATTTCAACAGGGTTGCCTCTTACCATGCTTACAACCAGCAGAGGTTGCTGGGGACCTATTCTAACCTGGAATTCCCACAGGGTTGCCTCTTACGACCAGCAGAGGTTGCAGTGGACCTATTCTAATCTGGAATTTCCACAGGGTCGCCTCTTACGACAAGCAGAGGTTGCTGAGGACCTATTCTAACCTGGAATTCCCACAGGGTTGCCTGTTACATCCAGCAGAGGTTGCTGAGGACCTATTCTAACCTGGAATTTCCACAGGGTTGCCTCCTACGACCAGCAGAGGTTGCTGAGGACGTATTCTAATCTGGAATTCCCACAGGGTTGCCTGTTACGACCAGCAGGGGTTGCAAAGGACCTATCCTAACCTGGAATTTCAACAGGGTTGCCTCTTACCATGCTTACAACCAGCAGAGGTTGCTGGGGACCTATTCTAACCTGGAATTCCCACAGGGTTGCCTCTTACGACCAGCAGAGGTTGCAGTGGACCTATTCTAATCTGGAATTTCCACAGGGTCGCCTCTTACGACAAGCAGAGGTTGCTGGGGACCTATTCTAACCTGGAATTCCCACAGCAGGAGAAGGAATTGAACAATTTCAAAATTGAATACAAAACAGGGAAGGGTTATTTGCATGTCAACATGGTTTCAATGTGAAGGATAATTTCTGACAAAATACACACACAAAACTCCTATCATGATTATGCACGTTATACAAATTACATTTTTATTACCGGTATCACTCTTATCCATCAAAATTAATAACACATGTATTTTATTCATTTGTCATCTACCAACTGACGAAAATCTATATTCCCAATAGTCTATCTACATAAGCTTATCCATAATACTATGTCCCTTTTACGTCGCGTCCAAATTATTGCACTTATATAGCAATGTGCATGCACATGCGTTTGTGTGTGTATGTGGTTGCCTGTACTAGTCTGGACTAATGCCAAATTTTATAATGCTAACTGACTGAGATACCATGCCGCAGCTTAACATGAATACCCCACTCAGACTCAGACTCCGAGCCGACCAGTCCTTGTTTTAGCCCCTGGTTCAAAATTTGGATTCTTTTAAAAATAATTATTTTCCTAAACTCAGGCCAAATGTCACTTTCTGCCACTAACACATCACACATTCAGCCATTAGACATGCAAAATGCCAGTATAATAAAAATCTTCAAGCTGTATTACAAAAGACAGCAAATGAAACTACACCTACACGAATATGTGAATATTATATTCAATGCGAAAATATGAAATTTAACTATAAAACCTCTTCTAGTTTATTGATCCTGTTGTCAGTGAAATGCAAGTCACCACTGCATAGTGATATCATTAGTTATTTCTATGGCAACATTACTTGGAAAATCTATATCCCAATTCGGAAATTTTTACTGACATTTGCTTCAGACTTGGCAAAACACCAGCCTCTGTCTAGAAAAAAAATCCTAAATTCCTAAAGGCTTTATACTATTTCAGTTACCCTGGTTACATGTAACTGTGCATAAACCACCAGCTGTGTAACAAAATGCATCAAATGATAGCTGCAGAATACATTAATCAAGTTAAGCCACGTGTAGCATTGCTGCTGACAGACACTACACAATCAGCAACAGGTGTTCCTACACCGTCAGTCAGATGTGTCTGATCCTGCGTCAGATTCCAGATGTGTCTTGTCTAGTGGAGAAATGTCAGACAATCTAACCAGGAAGGTGAAATACCATTGTCTATCACAACAAGGATATTTGTTTTCAAGCATGCCCCAGGGCACCTGTTAAGATATGTTGGAGTGCTCTTTGGAATTAAGTGTGCCAACAAGAATATTACTTCTGATCGATCTTTGATTCACCATGACCCAAATATAAAACATAAGCAGTTTTAGTTTCAAAAGTTTGCCCCTTGCTTTTCATTGCAATCGACAATACGGTTTTACACTTTTCAATTTCTGAATCCCCAGGTTTATTTCGGGCATAAAAAAATAAAAGAATGAGTTCTTAGGCAATGACATTTGAAAATATAGTGTGGGTGGGCAGTGTTTTTTTTGTTTTTTTTTGCTTGTTCAAACTAAAAACAAAAAAAAACAGTTGTGTACCATCAATCTGGGAAAGAGCCTCCATACATAAACAAGTATACAAACTCCTATTGCCGCCATGACCATAACACAAGATGCGCAGTAAAGCAGAGCGCATGTATAAGGAAGATATCATATGCTATATTGCACTGCATAGTTTTTAAGGTATTAGTATTTTTGTATTTTTTTAGAAAATGGAAAAAAAAATCAAAACGTGTGGCAGACTTTATGATGATGTGGGCACTGCCTGAGAACCAGGGTTAAAGTACTGTCGGAAATGCTAGAAAACTGCTTTTCTGGCTTCATTTAATAAATACGAGTCATAGGACTATAAAAAGAGCATACATCAAATAACACAAATTGCCCCAATCTAGCCACTGTGATTACCCTTAAAATGTACTTTTACAGGTAAAATGATGATCAACTTAGAAAATATTTGTGTGTTGTCATGCATGTATGAAATTACCAAAACACCTGTTCCGAGGTGATGACCTCACAGCGTCCCGTGCATTCTCACAGGTGCAAATGTCACCCGAGTTGCTCTCAACATATTACTGTTATTGTGCTTAATTGACATGTGCCTTGATGGGGTAGCAATTTAGGATATGTACTGCATTATATTTGCTTGGAAACATGATGGAATAGTTAAGAGCTATGAAACGGGATGGGAATTGGAATGTAGCGATTTTGGAATCCAGAAGTATTTGTTGTTCTACAGATGATTTCTTGAGGTAGCATTTATCTCCGCTGATGACGTATATGAATCTGTACTTTTGAATGTTGTGTTATGTCTTGCCACGAACCCTTTACACTTAGCTAAGATGGGCACAACAGGGTTGAGCTCACAATGTCTGACTGGTGTACGTAACACAACGTAACCGTGTTGTGCTGCCAGCACATATGCCCTGTTCTTATTCAGCCGAATTTTTTTTAAAAAGGTTGAACTTTCGTTTTATATGGTCTGAAGTTGACAATGTCATATATCCCTGTATGGTCAACTTCAGACTACTCATGGTTTGGGCGACAGTATCTGATTTCCGGACGTTATATTAACTGGCGTTATCCATGACAATGACCCTGACGTTGTTTAAAATGGGCAACAGCTGAAGTTCCAACCAGTCTATGAACACATCACTTCCTATAATTTCCTTATGAAAATCACCAGTTTTCTTTTTTGCCTAAAAAACTAGCACACATCCATCAATAAGCCCCATATCATGGGTTGCAGCGTACAAAACAATGACACGATTACCTTTAACTGATGGTCTGTGGGTGCTTTTTGTCCGTCTGCCAATATCCACATGTAGACAGTGAAATGATTCATCAAGGTAAATTATCTGGATGCCCTTACTGTGATAGTTATGAATGGTTCGGAGATAATGTGACTTATAGACAGGATTGAATATTTTCCCCTGAAAAGTGCTCGGTCATCGCCACGTGCAGTGTATCGAAATCCCATCTCTTGGAGGGCAATAGCCAGTGCAGTTAACATTAATTGTATCTTTAATTCCTCCCAAATTCTACTACAAGTCAGGGTTACCTTCTGCACATAAAGCTTGTACACTATACTCCTAATCACCCTGTATCAAAGCTGTCTAATATCCTTTTACGTCCCTGTTTTGTTTTTGAGACCACCCCTATACCTGTTTTGTATTATTTATCATACCGTAGACTTGATGATATGAATTGAAAACCCAATAGCTTGGGCAGTTCGGTAGTTCACCCTATCTAAATTGATAAATGGTTTCCCTCTTTCTCTCTAAAGTGTAAAGAACTTGTATACATTTCCCAGTACAGACTCCATATCGTGTACCATGGTTTTGGCTATACAAGTGTAATGTAACATGCATCATGGGAGCAATGTTAACAAAACAAACGCATCTTCATTTTAGAAGAAGCACATCTAGAATATTCTCAAAATGATTTTGGTGTGTAGATTAGATGTTTTATGAAGACTACATTATTATCATTAGAACGGAGTCACGTGCGCATATTTCTATAGTCTGTTTCAGACTGCCACCATTGGACTTAGAATAAATGCAAACTTCCTATTTTCTTTCGAATTTGTCCCCTGTAAACTTGTCGATAGGACTCCTTGTGACCAAAATACTTCAAACCACAGGTAGGGCGATTGGTAGTTACTCGATATTTCAATAACAACAGTCTGTGAAAAAATATATCCTTTTTTAACAGGCTAAAAGCAGTTGTCTAGCATTTCCGACAGTACTTTAGTATTTGTTTTAGCCTTACAAATCATGCTGTTAACAATGTTAAACATGTTCTCACGTTCATTTTCCATGTGTTTATCCAGCTTACCTCTGTGAAAGTACATTTATCTCTGGTTTCATAACAATCATCCCAAGAAGTCATTTTTAAATGATTCCTAAGTGTGTTCTTCCAGCACTAAAGATTATTGGAACCATGCGATTACATATACAATTTTCATCACATCATTGTCACTCTCAGACAAAGAATTTTGATCCCTGCATGAATATACACAGCCTGTGCCAAAAGCTTGAGTCTACAACTCTGATCATGGCACTTAGCCCCGTTTTCATTAGAGTTCAGTGTTGTTTACTAGCTGAGCTAACTAGGCCAAACAGATTTTTCCGGGGTCAGACAGATATTTGTGTTGTTTCCTGCCAAGACAAATTTCAAAGTGCTCCAGCAGTTTTTTAATTCTACATGAAAAGCTTGGACAATAATCCGGAATAATCAAAAGAATAATACAATCAAAATGCATAGTTAAATGTAAGAAATAATTAAAGGCAAAAATATGGCATTTTTGAACCTGTGTGAAGAGAATGGTTTGATTAACAGAAAATCTTCTTGTGGTCATTGACAAACCGTACTCCGAAATGATCACAAGAATCTTGTGGTATATCTGCACTTTTTCACAACTTAAAGATGATGCAACCCAAATACTACCAGGAACCAGTCTACATAAACATATCGGAACAAAAGTGATATTACTGTGCAAAGTTATTGAACTTTAAGTTGTAGTTGGCAATGTGATGTTAAGTCATGTAAATAGTAATAAATGTCTTTAGTAATATTTTTGAGCAAAGATTGTCTGATAACTTGCAACAGCCATGGTAGTCCTCTATAAATGATTTATCAAATGCTACTATCATCAGATCATAAACACTTCCAGCATGTTCAAGAACAAAGATAGTAATAACACTCATATTTGCTTGTTTGTTGTTTAACGCTGCACTCAGCAATATTCCAGCTATATGACGGCGGTCTGTAAATAATCAAGTCAGGACAAGACAACCCAGTGACTGACATCATGAGCATCGATCTACACGATTGGGATACAATGACATGCACCAACCAATAATATTTTATTTTGAGTTACAGTAATCAGATATGCTTGTCTGAATGCTTCGCTCACGTATTCCAAGAGTTTAGAAGTCTTGATGCTGATTGGCTGATTAGAAAGTTCACCTAATGCGACCTCAGATCTTCATGCCAAGAGGTATCATTTCCGAGTAAAAGATCTGATTTTATGAGATTGTCAGCATGGAACATCATGAATATTGTTAACAATAGTGAAACAAATGTACTCGTTCTAATAGACCTTACAAAATAAACCTGTGTAAGATCCACCCAAGTCTTTGGTCTAGAAATGGTAAAATGTACTGTCTATCAAAGTCAACTGTTTTCTGAAGCTGCACTGACCTGTGAAGATGCTCGGAGTTTACTGAAGACAGCGAACACCTTGAGACTGGCTGTGTTTGAGTTGGGAATGGTGAGGAAGTGAAACCACAGACGATGATCATGGACGTAGCAGTGGATCTTCCACCCCTTCTGACATGACACTGGGAATGGCTGAAACACAACCACTGCATCAGTATGAAGCCCTCACATTTTTCATTTTTAAGTTTCTGGCTCACCGAGCCATGAAAAATAAAAATGACAATTAAACATAAATTTCATAATACATGACAGAATCTTGTGTCCATAACATGAAAAAAATAGCTGCAACATACATGATATGAATACAAAAAAAACATTAATATTAAAAATTATGAAACTGCATGCAATTATTCATTTTAACAAGTGAGATTTACCAACTCAACATGCTCACAGCTTCGTATACTACTCAAAAGTGTCAAAGAACATTCAATTTTTTCATTTTACTATAGGTAAGACATGTCAGATTAGCAAAAGTCATACAAAATAATCTTAATCATGTTAATATTCATGTTCTTTTTTTTATATTTATATAACAGTTGAGACAGATTAACTACAGTTGCATGAAACTTCTTTTGGGTAGTAGATATCTATATTTTATAAACATACAGAAAACTTACTTTTCTCTCAGTGATGTTTTCTATAGCCCAGCTAGTGAAGTGCAACAAAATTGAAGAGAGTAGCATATAATTGGGACAAGACCCAGATGTTGATAAAACGTCAGGTCGGATGCTTTAGTATTACCATGATTACGGTTGGTCAGGATGCTGGAAACACATATTTTTTGCTCCTATCATGGTTACTTGTATCACAAAATACTTACCGTAATCGACGTAATAAGCGCCCCGCTCTAATAAGCGCCCACAGCGACATTTGCTAAGATATTGGCTAGTGAACAATCCCAGTTAGCACCCCTTCCGATTGATCAATGTACACAAGACTTATTTATTTGCGTATAATACGCACTCGTGTGTTATATGCACCCTTACTTATGGGCATTTAATTCTGGAAAAATATATCTGTCGTACATAAACATTTCAGGCTGTCAGCATAAACCACGAAATTTATCTTTCAACTCTGTTTTTTTTCACCAAAATAACATTCTAATAAGAGCCCCCTATATATAATTTTCAGAGCGCCCTGGGTGCTTATTACGTCGAATACGGTATGTATCACGTTTATATGCTCATTTGAACACTGATGTTCACCAGCTCTATGTCATGAACTGATCAACAGGATAAAATCTGTATGACAAACACCATTAATACGGTTTCCTCACCTTTGCATTTTTTATAAGATCAAGGACTTCTTCAGCAGTAACTTTTTCTTGATTCTGAAAATGTCATTGAGTTGTTGGAATCATAAAACTTACAATAATTTACAACATGTACAAATTCATTCCTTCCACACATGTTTATACTCACACACGACCAAAGAAGATGGTCAAGAGAAGTGAGAAGGATCTTAAACAAATGCCACTCTTTACTTAGCGTTATTATGATTGTTTGTTTCTTGTCTCACGATGCACACAGCAATATTCCAGGTATATGATGGCAGTCTGTAAATAATCGAGTCTGGACCAGACAATCTACATGATCTTGTGATTGATATCATGAGCATCAATCCACACGACCAAGTCAGGGAGTCTGACCACCCGATCCCATTAATCGCCTTTTATGGCAAGCATGGGTTGCTGAACACCTATTCTAACCCGGATCTTCACGGGTCCATTATCATGTTGGCTTAATGGTCCAGAATGGACACACAAAATCCATCAATAAGTGGTATAGCCGGACACATGGCGTAACAAAATGAATGAGTGATGTCAGAGTTTGTCTGTTTCTCCTTTCAGCAGCTTCAGCACTAAAAATTAATACAAATGTTCTATATGCCATACACATGTTACAGGATTTCCTTTCAGTTGAAGAAAATAGTTTGCAAAAATTATAAATGAATCATGTTTTCCTGCCTCGTATCATGTCGGTCACAGCTGTTATTTTCAAGAATACAGCTGCAGTAAACAAGAGAACAATGTACAGTATGAAAGAAACATAAACATTGTGAATGAACATGATTCAGGTTGGTGGACACTAATTATCATGATTACAACAACATAAATATGCATATTTACATGAAACTTCCACAAAACATATGCTTATACCACATATACTAGTCATGGGTATTGGCCTAACTTTCGTATTGCAATGTATTGCAATGATGACTTATGTATTACGATATGTAACACCTGTAATTTGTTTTATACCTGAATGAAAATGGAACCAAACATCAGACTCCCCCCCCCCACCCCACCCCCCCCCCCCCCCCCCCCCCACACACACACACACACTTTTGACAACTTTGTTCCCTATCTCCGTTGGATGTTGCTATGGTCACATGTGTAAACATGGTAAGAGACACTTTATCAGGGTGATCAGCATGATCAGTCCATTTTCTACGACATTGACTAATTGTCATCCAAACTGTCAAAAGATTTCATCCAAATTTGGTAATGACATATATGACATTTTGTCCAATCAAAAAGTTGACAAAATCATGAAAACATCCTGATACCATTTGTCTCCAGCAAAGTCACTGACTAAATACAGGAAACTGGTCACAAATAGTTTTGCTTTTTGGATCACAGGAAATTAGTTGCAAATTTCTGAATGTCCCAGTTATACTTATGTAAACTTTGCCAAAAAGTTAGCATTACAAATTGTGTTATACCAGTAACACAGCACACATCTAATGAATGTCATATGTACATGTTATTGCAAGCACAATTTTTGTCTCTCATGAAAAACAGTCAACAAGTTAGGATATGGTAAGAAGAAATTTATAAGTTCCATGTTGGCACACAAAGTAGATTCTGGATAGATTCTGCTTGACTCATATATATCTAGGTGACTATTGGTCTGGAAATCACTATTGTGATACCTATTGATATTGCAAGCAGCTACTGCGATAAATATCGATAGTTTTCAGTGTATCATTTTAGATGGATTTTAGAGTTGAATTTAACCTTGGAACTGAAGTTTTCTTTGAATATGATAACCATAACAACAAATAAAAAGTAAAGTTTGAGATATGACTGATTTGTTTTTTCTTTACCCTAATAATTTAAGAAAAAGAAACTTCCACATTATCATCATGATCATGTGTAAATTACTACCATTCATGATCAAAAGAAAAACAAATTTGAACAGCATTGCATGTACTTTATTGATATGGTAAATGCAATCGAAACTATCGATATTCCTTCCTGAAATCGATACTATTGATCGGAAACTGATTTAACAATCGGTTTACTGACTTTAGGTGCTCACCAATACATGTAGCAATATATCGATATTTTGATTTATCGTGACACCCCTATATATGTCATTGTCAACAATCCTAAGATTGAGTTTCCCGCTTTCCCCCAACTAAGATATGGTTCTCATCATTGAACTTGTTGAATGCTACATGCAAGTACCAGCTCTCTGCTATGTCTATCCCCTGACCATGTTAACAATTGGTGTTAATGAAATTGTATTGTATTATTTATGCAAAAGCATCACCAAGATTACCAGAGAAACATTTCTATATATTACACAGAACATTTAAATGGCAGTTCTAACTTTACCATCGTCTACTTTGAATATTATCATTACAAATAGTCATGATACATTTTAAGGTTACCTCAATATTTTAATAACAATTTCTTTCCATAAATAATAATTACTTCTAAATATTGCCATCATTCACTGATATCGTTTCTATGGCCCCGTTTGAAGTATCCTACTAATTTCCGTAACAGACATACATATTGAATGTCATCATCTGCCGAACAAGCAAAACACAGATGTTCAACAGGTGTTGTATATTTCCTGACTCAACATAACCCAGGAAGTGATGTATCCCACCTGATTGATGACACCACGAAATAATATACACAAAGTGCACTTACAAAAACAAATCACAAGCTTACTTGATATCTTACCTGCCGTAACACATAAGCCCGACCACTTATCCACCTCAGAAGGGAGAGGTATTTGAGACTAAAAACGAATATTGTGCAGAATATCGTTGCGAACGTCGACAGGTACAGAAGTTCCATCCTGCACTGTCACTCCCTGTCGGGCTAAGATTCCTCAGCTTGGTGGCAGAATGATGTGAATGAGTCATGCAGATATATTCCAATAGAAAAATCGAACATCACAGGTATTCCCTTTCCTGTACGGCGTTTTATTTGATCATGTGACTGTTCTCTGCACGTTGGTTTGTTTTAAACGGAAGTAACCTATTAGTTGCCTCCCTTTGCAATAACCTATTCCTAAAGACTAATAAATATATATGGTAACAAATAGGCGTACTGGTTCTACGAAACGGGTCTCAGAATGTTGTTCTTTATTCCGAGCGAGAACGGGCTTGTTATTAATCACACATTTATAAGGTTAATTGTGTAACATGTAGGGTCATGAAACAAAAAAGCATGTCAACACTGGGTCCTTGCTTTCTAGGGGCGCTGGGGTAGCCTAGTGGTTAAAGCGTTCGCTCGTTACAACGAAGACCCTCGTTCGATTCCCCACATGGGTGCAATGTGTGAAGCCTAATTTTGGTGTCCCCCGCCGTGATATTGCTGGGATATTGTTATAAGACCACAAAACCATACTCAATCACTCATTTGCTTTCTGTACAATATCATAAAATCAACTCTTTCTATCCTGATTTGACCAACTAGATTCACCATAAATCCTCGAATAAGCGCTGCACTTGTATGTATATCGGAATGACCTTTCACCCACATTACATTCGAGGCATTTATTCTAAGAATTACTGTAGATTTAGAAAAGGCACTCATCGCCACGGTAAAATAACGAGAAACTTTGTAAACAGTCCAGTATTTAAACTGAAAGTACCATTAGTTGCTATCAAGAATTTTATTCTTATTCTATTTATTTTATTGCGTTTTAAACGAGAGTAGGGTTTATTTCCGGATTTCATAAGCTGTTCAGTATTACAAGTGATAACTGTGCATAAAAATCAGACGAGATTGCTAAAATGATGCATTTTGCTATTCATGTTTTTGTTTTGTTTTTAATTTTTCGAATTTGTGAGTTCGTAGGCAAATAATTGGAAAACTATGGAAATATATCAGTCAACTACTGAACTATTATATTTGGCAAATAAGGAATTTAATATTTTCAGTGTAATATATAAATGAGGAAGAAGCCAGTGAGTGTAATTTTAATTCATTCAGTTCACCTTCACTTTCCACCGATTTGTCGTCGAATATGACTCCTTTACTCGGAAGAAAAATATTTCCAGAGAAACAAAGACATAGAATGGATTGCGTTATTCTTCAATTCATATAAACTGTTAGCATTCAAAGTGCATAAAGATATTTACATAAATAATTAAAAAATACCTTTACGAAGTGTAAAGTTTCAGTATATAACAGTTAATAAATTATCAGCTCTGAAAGAACACCTCCCTAAACAACCCACTGTACGCTTTCCATTCCATGTGTCTAATGGCTAATCTGACAGTTGTGGTAAGAGTAAATCTTTACTAGGGGGTAGCTCGCTTTCAACGAAATTAATGTTAACACTACACCTATTCGAGAGAAGATTTTCTCAAGATTAGAAGTTAAGAGACTAATATTTACCACGTTATTGCATTGTCTTTTTTATGGCGTTTACAGAAATATTCTATTTGAAAGTGTTCATGTTAAAATATATTATTCTAGTAAAAAGTGTTCCTGCAGACCTGTGGTCATACATAATGTTTTACTTGTATAACTTTTCGGTTAATTATTTAAAGCCATAAAATAATGTGTAAAACACGTTTAAGGTGACTCAAATGAAATATCTGTCTATCTGGTTGTTTTACCCATTTGAAGAAAACAAAAAATATTATCCCAGTTTACTCGCATGACACTGTATTCATTGTAAATGGGGCCCTCTCGCGTGTTTGATCAGCGACACCGGTAATCGTTAGACTGGACAAGATCGTAAAACTGCGTTAGCCGACGAGTAAAGTGTAAGGGAATTACTCGAACTCTAGATGCTTCTGGCGAACCGAGACAGCATTTTACATTACGCCACACAAAATTACCCAGGAGTATATTTCCACAGTAAAACCTGGGATGTTGTTCGCTAGATTAAGAGAAGCGGTAATAAAATCTGCCTTTAGGCGTGATTGCCTTGTCGTGGCATCGTGTTTTACACAGCTGCACACTCGTATACCAACGGAGTGGATCGAAATTCAGACTTTAGTCAAGATATAATGGCTAGGATTGAAAATAGACATCGTCGTGAATTAAAACAACGTGACATACAATTACAGACATGTTTAGGGAGGGACTACCTGACACGCAAGATTATATGTTTCGGTCAACGATTGCGTGACTTTAGCTCACTTAAGAATTACATGCCTTGAGTAGGAGGTATATTTCCTGCTGAGCGATATTGATCTCCACCCCCCAAGCCCATCCGATTTCCAGATTGACACTCGTAAATATAAAACTGTGTTATACATGAGAAAGCAAATGTCAATTTGTATCATTTCCTGGGCCATAAGATATCATTACCACGCGAGTTATCGACATAATAAATAACTTCATGCCCGTTAACTAACACGAAACTATGAAAAGCGGGGATGCTTATTTCTGTCTATTTTACATCTGGGAAAACGGTAGATTCATCATCCCATCTGTTACACAAGAACGTTTCTCCGCCTTCTTCAAGACATTTGTCCTCGCACAAGTGTCTCCATTAAAACAAACACGTCAGTTCAGAGTAAGAGAGCGACCGGAATAAAAAAAACCTATTAACTTTTTTAATCATGTCAGCGAACCATTCTTTGCCCCTACGGGCAGATTTACACTAGAATACCCAGGAGCAAACACAGTGCATGTAAAACGCAACGTATCATAAAGGTCTACTTGCAATCAACCGGATTAACATCCTCTGAATGAAGATGAGAAGCACCTTTGACCCACAGACGGACAACGTTATATGGAGAAAATTCATTAACGAAGACCGAGACAGTAGTTATGTGTCAGACTAACGTATTTACGTCTAATAGATTATCCTAGTGTCATAGACTGTTTAGCCCGTTCAACCTAGGCAGCGCAACAGTCATGACAGAGATCACGGTTCCCATATTTATCTGGTGGCTGGTGGCTCCTCTGTACCGCCTCGTTAGAATAGTAACTCTAAGGAATAACAATTTCACACCTTAGATTACAATACTGAAGGTAACTCAAAGTAAAATGGATCCTCAACGAACACTAAGTATGTGTTCAAACTGCTGGCTCTAAAAACAATTTACCGTCCAAACTGTGTGAAAAAGAAATGGTATTTGGTTGCCTTGGAACATATATGTTAGTTACTTTTGGTTCTATTTATTGATGAAAGGGCCTTGTAAACTGTTGATAAGGACTAAATATTCTACATTTTGACCAGCGAAAACGAAATGAACTAAGAAACGACAAGTTACACTGGTAGGACTCCCTTTTGTTGGTGACCCGAAAATTTTATTCTCTGGAGATTTGATTGCATACTTTTATTATGTATTGATTTGATATATGTTATCTCGTAAATGTATGCAAATTTATTCATGTATTGAAAATGTTTTTGTAACTCAGATTTTCACACAGTAGTGATTATCTAGTACTGTGTTTACGGTCATTTTTGCCGCCTCAATAATTGTACGTATCTGGTTGTAAATCTTTTGTGGTAGATTATGTAGGTAAATTATGTTCAGCACTATAGTTTGGTACTTACATCTTCCGTTTTGGTTAAGTAGTTAGTTGGTTTTTCCCTATTTTAGAAAACACACTTTGGTTACCTCACAAGGTTATTGCATTCAGATTGCTGACCAGGACAGGTTGCCCTCTCCGAGGTCCGCGCACACGTATATTACCCTTGGCGAAACCATGTGTCATCACCCCCAGGTATGGTTCGACCGTTTACGGGTCGTCGTGCTACTGGTTTGGTCAGGTCGAAACTTAGCTAGGTGTCCTTAGTAAGTGGTAATGGGGCAGTTTTCTCCCTGGTACTGTCTTACTCTGGTGGTATTGAGCTAAAACCTATTGGCTAGGCTTTTATATTCCGTACCCAAGGATAACCAACTTTGCGATTGTCTAGTTTAGGTCAAGTACCTATTTACTATTGGGAGACAACTTACCCTTTTGGTCAAGTACCCTTTTTAATGATTATGAGTCTAGATACTCTATAGCTGAAGTACCTTGTATTTTGGCGAAGTTTAGAATTCCCTTGCCTTGTCAAAGTGACAGAGACTAAAGTCAATAAGACTGGTTTAATATTCGGACGTTTTTCGCCTATGTTATTGTCCAAGAGACTTATTTTAGGGACAGGCCCTCTGTGTTTATTTCCCGCCATTTAACCCACTCGAGGTTATTCACTCATAAGAGTGTTGAGTTCATTAACTCTCAGGTGTTAATTGGTCGCAGCCGACTTAATTGGCTGTCTATGCATCTTGTCTGTATCTTGTCAAATTGTTGATTTAGCTAAGGTAATCAGCTTGTATATTTGTTCTGGTACAATTAATCTGTGTTCGTTGTCATTGTAAATTGGGTTTTGGGGGCCTTTTTATTGTCATCTATGCCTACAATTAGCTGATAATAATAAACCTGTGAACCCATTACTACGTTTTCATTGTTACTTTATCCTTGTTTAATAATGCCAAGATTTCTGGAATACAGCTCCGTGACACTATGTAAAGGCAATCTTAACACAGACAAATGCTCTGGAAGTTTCTTCGTCGGGCCCTCAAACCGAAAGGAAAGTTTATCGTATAGACGGGAGTTCGCGATGTTGACAAGCGAATATGAGCAAAATACGAAGCAACCAGCAGTAGAAAATTATCAATATGACAGTCATAACTATGGCGATATCAGTCGTGAAACTGTCGTCATAGTGACATCATAAATCTCGAGCTGGTCTCGAATGTACGTGACGTAAACTGGTTGCACTGTTTATACGCAGCGCAAGCTTATACGCTGGGCTCCGTCTCTTAAACTTCATATCGACGTCATAACATGCGACATTGTCATTACACCACCTACGCAAGGCCGTATGGCTAATAGACAGTTAATTTTCATTACGTGTCCACAGTTAAACATAAATATGTGGTTTACGCTGTAGTTAGTTAGACTGAGAGAAGCGGAGCCCATAATCCCTCATTCAAACCCTGAATGTCAGAGGACCCGTGAAGATCCGGGGTAGAATAGGTCTTCAGCAACCAAGGCTTGTCGTAAAAGGCGACTA